CACGTATTCACAATCCTGGACTCATACTGACATACTGCAAGTTATGTTGTTACCTGAGACACAAAGCATGGATCCAAGGGAAATTATTAGTTTGGACCTACCTAAYGTTTGACTCCAAAGCTTCCAAGATGAAATATCAGCACAGGGCCTTTCTATGGCACTCCTCTATCACTTTTTTTTTTTTTTTTTTTCAGAAGTCTTAGTAAAATCAAATCATCTCATGTTGTAACATCTTGCAAATGAAAACAGAAATAAAGACATTAGCTGTTTATTCAGATTTCCAAATATCAAATACTCTTTTTTTTYCCCTAGAACTGTAATTTCAGAATACTCAGCATTAGAGTGAAAGGCAGAGGTAACTTTTGTTTCTCTCCACCCCTCTTTTTTTTTTTCTTTTTAATTTACATTTACAGCCATTTACAAACCTTTGAATGCAGGTGTTTACAAAGAAAAYGCTGACACACCAACACCAAAAAAGCACAATACAATATTTACCCATACAGCAAAAGTGTAAGTGATCCCCATTCTATTTGCAATTCAACCACACAATGCAACAAAGCTTCTTCCCAGTGAAAACTGGAAAGTATAACAGGATTTGAAGCTACCTAGCATCTCTGGATGTGGGAAAAGCATAGCAAAAGAGGCAAGTGGGATGCTCTCGCTGTTTACAGTACAAATCCTTTGAAGTTCTTCTGTTTTCTTGGAGTTAATTAAAAGTTGGCTCAGAGGTTTCCCTCCACCCCCCATTTCTTTTCCTCTCTCTCATCTTGAGCCTATATGGCAGGTGTTGCAGAGCAAGTCTCAGCAGCACCATTGGATACCCTTTCTTCCTTTCATTTGCAAGTATAACTTAATCTCTTCTAAACAGTAATAGCAGATAGGAAAGACTCTGACTCGTGCAGCTCCCAGGGCAACTAAAATTACCAAACTCTTTGTAAACAACTTGAACTGACCGTCAGTAACCTTGGCCCAAACTAAGTATGAATTTCTTTGGAGTATCAATGTATATGACTGAGCTTCTGTCAAAAGAATAGATCTACATTCTTCATTAGAAGGCTGAAAATATACACAGATACATATATATACATATACACACATATATACATATGTGTGTATACATATGTATATACACACATATATACACACATATACACACATATATACATATGTGTGTATATGTATATATACATATATATACACATGTGTATATATATACACATACACACACGCATATATATATTCAGGGCTGTTTTGAGACCAGTGTGTCCTAACAGACGTCTAGCAGGACTGCTTTGTGGTTCTGTGCCCTTGTCTCTACCTCCAGCGCAGCCAGTTCTCCCATCTAGAGAGGATTCTTCCCCTTCCTGACCAAGGCATTGAGGGAAGGGCAAAGGAGGGCAGCCTTGGCCCAGGGAAGGGGCAGCCTCCTCGTGCTTCACATCCTTCCCTTACTGAGTTTGGTGTCTACAAATCCACATATCTTAAGATTTTTTTTTTATAGGAATTTATGAGATAAAAGTCCTAATGTGAACACAAAGTAGGATTTCTGACACCTTTCACTTCTACTTAAGCAAAATTCAAAACAAGTTTTACTAGAATTTATAACAGCACTTGGTACCAAAAGGATTTTTTCAACAAATCTGGAAGTTTTTTTTCTTTTTTTAAAATCTAAAACCCACAGAAGTGTTTGCAGAATTCTGAAAAAAAATTCCATCAGAAACTATTGCTTTTGAAGAAATCTCCCAATGGCTTTGAGCTATAACTACAAAAACAAAGACATTCATTTTAGGATATCATTGGAAAAGTAAACAACATAAAGTTTATCATGCTAAATAATAATTTTTCTTTCTTTTTTTTTTTTACTTTTGTGAAGCAAAGAGTGTTTCCCGCTCACTCTAACAATGCAAACACCAATTATCCTGCAGGAAAGATCCTAATAACAAAGACAGAGTCATGAATAATAAAGAGATACTTGGTAATACAGTATAAACATACCTAACTGCAGATTACATTTGTCAGCTTTCAGTTTCTTACAGTCAACTTGCACATGAAGCATAAATGTGCATTTCATTATAAAGTAAGAGTCTTCTCTGTAGGAAAAGAAAAATAATCTACACTAAAGTGAAATTCTGTATTCTCAAGTTCTACTATGTTATATTTCACGAGGTACCCATTTTAAGTAATGTATTTAAAAATTAACTCTTAATCTAGGAAAGTAACTATTGCAAGGTATAAATACTGCAAAATTTTGAATAAACTATGAGGCACTAATTTTCTCATTAGTTTGCTCTTAGATTTGATTGCAACATAATTATGACCTAATTCATATGATATATGCTAACATATACTTCAGGATGCATATTAAGCACATAAAATACAGTATCATTTTACTCTTGTTGGGTTCAGTGCTGAAATACCAAACTAGACACACTTAGAAAAATACATTAATCAAGTCACCTTTCATGAATTCTGAAAATTTTACTTAAAAAAGAATATTTAAAAAATAGATTTTTTTAGGTTATTCATTATGGTAGGTATTAACATAACAGTAGTGTGTCACTACTAGCTGTAGTTTTCAACACTGTCTTTTAAAGCATCAATGCAATGAGCATATTTGAGTGATGCTATATATTCAGATAGATGTTAAATATTCGACATAATAAAAGATATAATATTAGTTATCTGTAAAAGCAAGCTTTTCTTTTTATTTCTTTATAGATTTTTTTTCAGGTGAAGATCAAGAGTATTTTAAATGTATTAAAAATTACCTTCAATAACCATTATGTATCTTTTTTGTTCCCATCTGAAAAAGGCCAGCTCTCCATTGTATCTCCTTGTGAGATGAACTGTCTGTTTGCATGCTCATACCTTTCGTAAGATGTTTGTGTTCCTACAAGCAGCTGTAAGTCTAAAGGAAAAAGGCAAACTGAAACATTTTTGTGGTGACAATACATAATTAAAAAAAATACCTTTACACAGGAGAGTCTTTCCTATTTCAAGGGGGAACCAGAAGTAAATAAGAGTTCTTTTGTTTGTTTATTTGTTTGTTTTTGTGGCTGGGAGGAGGACAAGGAACAGGAAAGCAGGGAAAGAGTGTACAGGGAAGTTGTTTCCTTTGTTTAGTGTTCTGTGCCCACAGTGAGATCTTCCCGTGTTTTAGACTTCTCCCATGAGGCTTCTACTAGAAATGCAAAGAATTTTGTATTTCTTTCATTTTTAATTGTTGGTAAAAGAATTTCTGATGTGCTGAAGTTCTCTCCCATCCTCTCCTTCATATTTGTGGAGGAAGTCTGCTGTTGACACTTTGAAGGTGTCTYCATAAATACAGAAACAGCAGTGACCAATTTCTACCATGGAGACATGAGAAGTGAATTTTATTCCTCATGTACTCCCTGATCCCAATATTTGAATAGAAATGTCAGGTAATGTATAATTAGGAAACACTGTGTAGATTTCAGTAGGTTTCATGCAGCAGTGTAAACAACCATGTACAAGAACAAACTTATTTTGGAGACAGCTACTTTAAAATATTCTGACATGTCCGGAATCATTTTGCTAGGACTATTTCAATATTCACTCTTTCCCGACAAACATCTCATAAAGAGCAGAAACAAAATTAGAGAGTCTCATCTGTCTATATATGTTGAAGAAAAGCATTAAGTGGAAAATCATAAAAATGGAAGGACATAAAAAAAATGTGCAAAGCATATGCAGTATAGTTTTAATTATTAATATTATTAATTCTCTATTATGAATGATAGCTAAGTCTGTAACATAAATTTAATAAATTTTGTTTGTAATTTACTACACAATTAAGTTACAACTGAAAAAAATAAATAGGAGGCAAAAGGAACATACAAACTCAAGTTTAAGGTTAATTAATTCCTTGAGTTATTTGRCAGCGTTTGACTTGTGGTTTTATAAACTATACTGAACTTAATTAAAAACAGAACACAGTCTGAGTGAAAACCAAGGGTAAGAATAAATGAATCCAGCCATTATTATTATTTATATATATAACATATGAACACATGGACAAAGAATGCAGACATAAACACTGTTTTTTTTTTCTCCTTTTGCTAAAAAAAAAAAAAATAACCCACAAGTTGGATGATGATCTAGCCTATGAGAGATAGATTAACTGAGATTTCAGGCACTATTAATGCATATGGTTATGCTATATGGGATATTTTAAGAGAAATGCATTGTTTCCTACTGAAATAYTGCACCCTTTGTCTGTTTTTATTTGTATTACTGACTCTCACCTTTGCTAGTGGCACTCTTACTTTCAACAGCAGCTTGCTGTTGTTGCATCTTGCATCTAACTTACTGTAACATAAAAAATTATTTTCTAAATTTTGTGTAGCTCTCCAAGCAGTTTGCTGGTAGACCTATTTGACTTAAGAAAATGCCTCATGTTTTGTCTGAGAATAGCATAAAGATTCCTAACAAATTTATAGTACATTATCTACTGGTGTTTSGTCTGAGAGCAAGTTTGAACAAATTCATTCTTTGGCTTGAAATAACCTGCTGACATCCATGCCATGCATAACGTTCTATGTTATCAGAGCAGAAGCTATGCAATCCATGTGGCTGTTCTCTAATTCCTCTAAATCAGATGGAATTATACTGAAGATAAAAATATAGCACCCATTTATATAATCTTTTCTCATATGGGTAGATGCAACTATGTAGTGTACACATACAAACATCAGAACTGCGATGCAACTTCAGTGAAAGKAGCAAAATATTTTCCCCATATAAGGATTAAGGTTATCTGTTCTTGTACCTCAGAGTGCAAGAGTGCTCATATGTGCCAGAGTACTTGCTTATTATTTACTGCTTATTATGCTGCTTCCCCCAAAAACCAGAAAGATGATAACACATGAAACAGGAATTCTTTTTGCATATGGAAAACTGGATTCAGAGCCTTTTGCCTAACATAAATTAATCTAGCCATGGAAATCCTTGCAGAATTCATGTTTGTTTCTTTTAACTAGGGTCAGTGCGACTCCAAGGTGGCAAGAATGAGTTTGAAGGTACCGTGGAGGTTTATCTGAATGGAGCCTGGGGAACAGTCTGTGGCAGCCACTGGGACAACAATGATGCAACAGTTGTATGTCGACAGCTTGCACTTGGGTAAGTTTTAGTCTGAGAGAAAACCATTCAACCTATTTTAATGATCCTACAGTGTAAAGGGCAATATATTTTTCAACTCTTGATTTTTTTTTGTCTTAGGTGCTTGCCTTCTTAGGTGCATACCCAGTCTATTTTGCATTCCAAAGCTGTTTTTCCTCAAATCCTTTGCTTAATTTTGCTGTATTTCACAGAGGTCACAAGGGGAATCAGAAATTGATTTGAAAGCTACATGTGGGAGGAACAGGGAATGGCAGATACTCATTTGATGTGAAAAACTGTGATTTGATCAGACAAGTTCAGGGCAAACGCAAACTTTTTTAAAATGCAAAAAATTCTAATATCATCTCAGCTTCTAGTATACAAATGCAGCCCAAGCTAGGCAACCCGATTACCTGAACACACTCCTAGCACTCAGTTCAGTTTGYAGTTTCTCAGCAGGCCGCACAGTATGGTTGGCTTTAGTGCCTTTCTGATATTTCTTTCAATTACGTATCAAGGAAGTGATTTTGTCTTCTATGAGCACTAGGGGCCTAGAGGGGTGTATTTGAACTGTGACATTCCTAATGATTATTCCACTTTTTAAGAGGGCTAGCCAGAACTAAATCTAAGCTGTTTTATAATGTTCAGTATTAATCTGGACACACCAAGCCAACTTATAAAAATATGAGGATTAGATGAGATAAGAGTTCAGCCATCTGGAGGCTGTGATTTTGCTTATGACTTCAGCTGTCTACATATAATGTCTCCTTTCCTCATTTTCATTTAAGTTCTTTTTGCCTTCCATACCCTGAATATTTTGGTTGAACTAGACCCTTATTAGCAAAAGCAGTTCAGTGATAAAGAGTGAATGGCAGGGCCCTGTGAGCAGGATATGACTTCCATCAGAGTAGGTCCCCTCTCCTGCCTTCCTAAATGACAGTCAAAACAATTAATGCTATCATGTCTGTTTGGCAGCTATATCTTACAAGGTGAATTCAATAGGTATTATTGGAGTTCTTCAGGGGCTTCCATCTTTCTGCTCCTTTCTTCTTACAATATTTGAGCTTTGCTTTTAATTAAATTTCACTGGGCATTATATGGAGGCAAAGAAAGTCAGTAACAGAGAAGAGACCAGACCTGGAGAACAGACCTGATCAAGTGGAGCACGAGGCGGCTTCACTGCCTAACAGCCACACACCGTATTGTGTGACATGAGTATGGGCATGGGGCTGGCAATGCTAATGSAGTACAGGAGAGGAGGGGTGGGAAAGTCCCTTTAGCATTACCTCTTCCATATGTAATCTGCAGATCCTCCTTTGGACAGAATCTCTGTGTTGATTTTTGTATTTAAGAACAAATAGAACAGCAATATCACTGGCCCCGCAGCAATGCAGGCCATTGTACTAAAATATCCCACGACGCAATGGCAAGAAGTGGGTCACATCTGGTACTTTTCTTAGTGAAGATGACAATGCTCAGCTGCATGAAAATGGAATGACTTCATCATGCTGAAGAAAGCCTGTTCTTTTCTATCCCAAGTATTATATATGGGAGCCAAGAAAGAACAGATTTCAGGAACAAGTATTTCATTTCCATTGCACCCCTCCTAATGTCCTCTCCTGATTATTCTTATTCTTACAGTGAGAAAGGTGCAGCAAAACACATACCACTTGCTGGACGGGGCCTTACCCCTGTTTACTGGAGTGACRTACGTTGCCGTGGGGATGAAGAAAATATACTGTTGTGTGAGAAAGACATCCGGCAGGATGGAACCTGTCCTCAGAAAATGGCAGCTGCTGTTACATGTAGCTCTTCCCTGGGTAAAGAAAATAAACACATATGTTTTGGTTACCTCTTCACCTTATATAAAAGTAGTCATAATTGCTGATAATTAAATTAGAAAAAAAGAACCCACTTTATTAGACTTCTTAGAACAGGAAATTAAATAGCCTGACTCATAGCATCGTTCACTTCCAATTCCTCACCACCACAAAAGCAGCTACTAGTGGCACCACCCTTTACTTTTTCATAGTTAGCAAGCAAAGTACTGCTTTGAGATCCAGGTTGTGAGAAAGGCTGAAGCAGCAAAAATCCTCCAAGGGAACTCTAGCTGTAAGAGTAGGATTGTGTGCTCCCTCATCTCCCCACAAGACACACTTTTCTTTTTGTGCTTCTTTACTACCAAGATGACATTTTGAGAAAGAAACAAGCTTTTTCTGTGTTCTGTGTCTGATCACAGSCTCGGCCTTTATTCCGATCCGCCTGGCTGGTGGGAACCACGCTCATGAAGGACGAGTGGAAGTCTACCACGCTGGCCAGTGGGGCACCGTCTGTGACGATCAGTGGGAYGACGCAGATGCTGAGGTCGTGTGTCGGCAGCTTGGCCTCGGGTATTTCTGAACACTTTCTACTTCGGTAGCAAAGCAGCAAACTTACTAATCTGCACAGCCTTGAGTTTTCAAAATATTTCTCTCTAAGATAGAGAAATGGGTAGGTTTTTTAGGTATTGATCATTAATTAAAGTTTTTTTTTTTTTTTTTCTCCTGCACAGGAACTCTCCCATACTGGGCACCAAATAACTAGTGCTGCTTAGTATTTCTTTGTAGCCTTAATGTACAATGTGTTCTTTCAGGACTAAAGCAGTGTACATCCTTCAGTCCTAGTGTAGAASAGCTACATAGGTATTTCTATATACTTGTGCATATCCAATTAGGAGTACCTAATAAAAAGCACATATCATATTTCAATAGCAGAAAAAGCCTATAACTGGGCCACTATTAATAATTATAGCAGTTTCTAAATGATTACTAAATTTTCTCCATGATGAATGTAGTGCTTTTAACTTGCCTYCTTACTGATTACAGAAAAACATTTGATTCCTTTATTTAATATTCAGCAACTGCACTTCTGAGATTCTCCTGATTTCATTCAGTTTTCTAAGCAGAGGTGGCTAAATCATTTTGAGAGGGTGCTAAGTCTTTTTGAAATACATCCAGAGATTTGGAACAGTTCTCAAGTAATCAAGACATCTTGACAAGAACACACCTTATCTGTGAACTGAAATTTACCAACGGTGGCAAAATAGAGCAGTCATGAAGTAACAAAAATAATCTAAATTTACATTCTGGTAATCAATCTGGAAACATACTACAAATTGTAAAAATAAGGCTTCTTAGCAAATAACTTCCCACATACTTTCAAGTATGCTGTAGCACCCTGAAAAATAAAACTTCCTAATACTAGTCTTCAAATAATGGCTGAAAATAATGACAATTTTATTACCTGGTTACACAAATACTTTCTGGTAGATGCAAGTGGCCCTTGTTGCTATAATGGGTTTGTGGTCTCCAGTTTATGAAAACTCCAGAGAATCTCATTATATTATAGTATAATTTGTTTTCAATGCTCAGAGTAGTAAAGGCTTATTTCTTTGATTTCTACCAGGTTCCTAATGGATAAAGACTTTCTTTTCTAACATATTCTACACATCTGCAACAGCAGCAGAATAAAATATACAAGAAATAGGAAGCTATGTATGAGAATTTTCCTTTTGTGCTTACTTTATGCAAATACTACTCTATAAGCTTAAGATAATTTATCATATACATATGAATATGATGTCATATTCATATGAATATTTATCATATACATATGATTTTTCCCAAGTACTATTATCTAAACAACTAACAGTAAATGAAACATTCTGTAATAAATTTACAGTATATCTAGGGATAAATTGATAACAACAAGTTATTTTGAAACTAGGCTCTTTATTCCATATTTATCCAATTCTGTTAAAACAGCTCAGTGTTGAGAATTCACAAAGTCTATCTTAGGGAATGCAAATATAGAGGGCATTTGAAAACTGAGATTTTTTATTTAGATGCTTATATCTACATTTGGAATAGGAATTAGCCTTCAAAATCAGTATTAGCCTTTGTGCATTCTGTGCATTATATTTTCTTAGTTTACCATGTAATCAGAGCATATAAACTCAGTTCCAACCAGAAAAGCAGCTCATAATGAAATAAAAGCAAGGGAGGTCCTGTCTCTTCCCATGACCAGCACTGCAAACTACAAGTCTCCAATGAATCAATGCCATATATAAGATGGCATGGTTACTTAGAGCCTAAATCAAAGGAGGGCAAAGGGGCAAAGTGAATGTTTGCAAATCTCAGGGAGAAATACTATTTCCAAACTATCTGGAATTCTTCTTGGTATTGACAGTAGTAGAACACATTATCTGTTAAAACGTTACTTAGGAATAAGAAGGTCACTCTGAAGAAAAGCTAATGACTAACAAAAAAAAAATCTTGATAGATTATCAAGTGTAAAATATTACATAATTATTCTAATATTTGAACAATCGGCTCAAAATCCATTACACAGACATAARGAGAAGATCTCTTCCATGGTAAAAACAAGGCTAGATGTTAGCCTGCTTTCTACTCTTAATTCTACCACAATTCTACCACTATATGACATTATCAAGTCATTGATATTCTTTATTCATTTAGCTGGGTAAAAACAATGGCAAAAATGACCTTCATCTGTCTCATCTGGGTTAATTTGATAAATGTACTTTGAGTTTACCAAATGAAAGTCACTATAGAAAGATATAGGATTATCACTGCACATAAGCACTGAATGAAAATTAAGGTCAGAACTCTCAAACCCATCTGTACATCTATAATCTCTTCTAGGAACATCATGCTTAAAAATCARAAGATACAGGAAAGCAAAATATCCTAAATGCAGCACAACAGATTCTAGCGTTATAAGTATATTCAGAGAGTGGAAACAGCATGTTTCAAGTTTGCTCTTTTAGCCTCAGCAAGAGGCTGCAGTTGACTGCAGACCCCCGTTTCATCAGGCAATGGGCACGGGCTGCACCGTGTGCTCTCAGCGCGGGCGCTATTTAGGCCGCGCCGCATGCTCTTTGGGAGCACGGCTGGCCCTGCAGTGTTGGAGCTGTTCCCGCTGCACTCAGGACTCCGCAGCCTGACTCGGTGTCCGTTACGTTCTGCAGGGGGGTTGCCAAGGCGTGGAGCCAGGCCCATTTCGGGGAGGGCTCCGGCCCGGTGCTGCTGGATGAAGTGCGTTGCACAGGAAATGAGCTGTCTATAGAACAGTGCCCTAAAAGCTCCTGGCAAGAACACAACTGTGGCCACAAAGAAGATGCTGGTGTTTCCTGCACACCTCTTACAGGTAGGCCAGTAATGAATAACTACACTGGAAAATAGAGGTAAGTGTGGAACTGACAGGTCTGGAAAGATTGCTTTTTTAAAGTTYGCAGGCACATAAAGCCCCACACGATGTTCTGGCGATATTACAAAGAATCAGCTGCTGCTTATGGAGTTTTAAAGCTACAGAAAACCTTGTTATTCAGAACAAACCCTTATTTTATCAACTTGCTAACTGCCATTTATCACGAGGCATTTTCTTTCAAGTAGGACAATTACACATGCTGCCATAATTCTGTATGGTACTTACCAATGACAACAGACGTTTCAGCAATACRAATAAAGGGAAATAGAATATACAAAGGAAAAGCTAAGGCATCTMTATAACAAGTCTGCTCCCATGAACTAGGCACTTTTCCACTTTCCCAGCTCCCTTATGCCACACTGCACAACCAACCGGAAGCATTACACTCCTTTCATCTTCTGATCAAATACAATCAGCATTAGGTTGAGTAGTAGAATATTCTGATCCAATGCAGTAAATGTAACGTTGTTAGCTACTTTTTGTAGAAACTAAGAAAAAMTGATTCTTGTTTTTGTTTCTCTTTCCTTACTTGTCATGGTACAGATGGAGCATTGAGACTAGCGAGTGGGAAGGGCAGCCACGAGGGTCGCCTCGAGGTCTATCACACCGGGCAGTGGGGCACGGTCTGCGACGATGGGTGGACTGAGCTGAACACACAGGTGGTTTGCCGCCAGCTGGGATTTAAGTAAGAGCAATTGATATTAGGTATCTGAGTCTCTGACTTAGCACTGATGACAAACCTCTACACAGTCCCTACATTCCTCTTTTATATCTTAGCCGCGTGTTGTTTTATAGAAACTACTGGGYTAAAAAACATGAAAATCTGCTTCGCTCAGGCCAAGGTGTTTATGGCCTTAGTTTATGTAGAAGAGCAAGCCAGTATCAATTCAGTCAGTGATTCAGCCATGTTTATTCAATTCCAATTATCTTTTTGGCTGAGATTAATGCATAGGAGAAAAAACGATTTGTTTTAATCAGTTTTCTCCTTAGAAGTTTGATTCTTCAAATTCTTTGCCTGTGGAATAGCCACCAATAAACACTGACATTCTGAAGGCACTAGACCCGCTGGATTTAGTTTTAAAAAATCATCACACTCAAGCACTAGAACACTCTTATTTTTTGAAATACATATGTTAGGAAAATTAGAGCTCCATACATTCATTCTTCGCTTCTTTTCCTACTCWCTCTGGTTACAAAGGCATGCTCTCAGTAAGCCATCTTACTCTTGCCTATTCTTTCACTGATATGACAATTCATTGACATAACTAAATTCATGTTAATACCCATCATAATCACAGAAGAATTGTCTCATTTTTCCCAGATGCGACATTCAAATATATAATATTAAGAATGTTTAATCTCAAAATCAATGAGGCAACTCTGTACTGGGCTTATTGAAGCCTTAATCAAAGGTTTCAGGGGAGAAGCACATAGTGTTGCCACTGATTTTAATACTGTTTTTTCAAGAATAATTTATTTCTTTTAGTGCTTAAGTATCACACATTCTCTGATCACTATAGATCAAAATGTCGTGTATACCTGTTTTCTACATAGGCATGGGAAAAGAATTCCTGAGAGCTACTCAGAAGGAAGTTCTGGGCCCATCTGGCTGGATGATGTGAGCTGCTCAGGGAAGGAGTCAAACATCCTGCAGTGCTCAAAAAGAGAGTGGGGAAGGCACGACTGCAGCCATCAGGAGGATGTGAGATTAATTTGTCATCCAGACAACGACAGCCACAAACTCTCCCTCAGTAAAGTATCTCTTTGCTAACTTCACAATATCAGTATTGCCGTGGGTGCAGATCCAAGAGAAGTACTAGATTCTGTACCTAGTCCTAGTACTGTACTAGGTTTCCAGACTGAAGTTTTATCCTGCAATCTAAAATATGAATTTACTGCACTATACTGCTACTTGTTCTTGTAACAGTCAGCACTTGCATGCACACTTTTCTAGTCTCTTCCTTACAGCCTTTTGACCTCTAACTGTCCAAGGAACATTTTGTATTGTAGTACTGTTTCATTACGTGTAGATGAACGGGAATCACATTTGGTAAAAATAATTCTCTCAAGTACAAAATAGCATGGATTCACATTATGACTGCTGTCTTTACAGATGCAAACCATCTGTGCTGCTTGCTCAAATTCCTATAAAACATAATCTTAGTTGAAGGAGGTCTGGTTCAGTTAAACGCATCCATATGGTAACATTCTCATATCCCTGATATATTTCATATACCATAAAATCATATTTATTTCCTACTCGCAGATATATATTTAAGTAAAACAATATGAGACAATAATACTAATAGATATATTGTACCACTAATATTCTGTGGCTCTATACAGGCAGTATAATTTACAACCAACCAGAAAACTACATCATTTCAACAGGAAAGTAAAGATGCTATATCAGACGTTTCCTGTAAATGTTCTGGATGGACAGGGGACAAAGACTATTGTTACTATTTACTTCACTGAACTTGAAAAAGCTCTTTTTCCCCTCTTTTTAAAGATAAATTCAATGGAAAAATATGAGAAATGAATAGATGATGATAACTTCAGGAAATGCAAATGTTAACGAGTACTAAACATGAAACACACTACAATAATGACAAAATATATTAGCATGAGCTCCTGAAATTAAAACTAAACAGAAAGTTAAAAAAATTAATAAATAGAACAGTAGACATTATAAACTACAATGTAAACAATATGCTTTAAGCTATATTTGAAGCAGAAATACTTTCTTTTTATTTCTAAAATTGTGCTTCTTTTCATCAATGAATTAAGCCATATTCAACCAGCTTTACTCCAGAATAGGGTTAGGTCTACAAAATTTATTCATAACCTAATTTGAATTAAATTTCAAATGCAAATGTCTCCTAATGCTGCCTTATTTTAAAGCAGGATTAAATAATTTCTCATCCTTACAGTGCTAGAAGGGTATTTCATTAGGTCATGAATTTACTTATCTTCGATTTATGTGAAGATGATGAGGAATAGTCTTTTAAATTATTCAGAAAAAGAAGCTCTAATTAGAGTATTAATGATTATAAAGAATGGCATAATAAAAGATTTAGGAACCGATTCTCACTGAAACTCTCTAAAGAGTCCTCAAAGTAATTCACAACCATTTTATAAAGACACTTGGATTGCTAGCATGCTATAAAGGAGTCTTAACATAAATGAGAATCAAATATATACTTTGCTTAATGTTTCAGAATTTAAGCACAGACTAAGCACTGAATGAGAATAACTATGAAATAAGAACCCCGGGCTTTGAGGAAGAAGAAAACTCAAACCCTGATTAAGTTCAGCTAATCCACATGAGATTTATGCATTATTACCATATTGGACTAAGTATCCAATTACAAATGCTAGCAAACAATAAGTCACATATTAGAATAACATGTAGAATATCCTGCTATCACACAAAACATGATACAAAATATCAAGTGTAACAAATAACCATAAGCAAAAGTTCAACACAAAGCTGTACAGTTTTGCTGAAACAGCAGGAAGAGGAGTGACTGTGGACAGTTTGAAAGTAGATTTATGAAGTGAAATATAGGTAAAATCATCCACAAAGCTGCTGCAAGGAAAGTGCATTTTGCCTGGAAAGATACCATATGCAATGACATCTTGGRTGTCCTCTGCTATTAGTAAGAGAAATTGGTCTGTGCCTTTTTTCAGGCAAATTCTGAGCTATGTCGCACATTTATATGAAATGGGGGTATGAGATGAATTCTGAAATTYAAATTGCAGGCACAATGTAGTATTTCATATTGCACTGCAGCTTGTAAAAACTGCTTTCTTTTTGCTGGCCAGGGTAAAACATGCAACTGCCTTAACAGYTGATTTTAGACTTGTTGAACATAAACGAGCAGACCCCTCACCCTGAACGTGATGAAAATGAACTKATGTACTAGTTCCTGCTTCTGTGGCTGTGGGTTGACAATGGCAATTTATTCCCAGGCCCTCCCATCAGGCTGATGGATGGTGAGAATAAGAAGGAAGGACGTGTAGAGATTTTTATCAATGGCCAGTGGGGAACCATTTGTGATGACGGATGGTCTGATCAGGATGCAGCTGTAGTCTGCCGACAGCTTGGCTACAAGTAAGAGAACTCCCTCAGCTACCTCACGAGTCGTTTGCTAGGTCTGATTATGTTAYGTTTGTGCAAGGCACTATCATTCGAGTTAGGCTAATCACACAATACATGTCTTTTAAAAGCTATCTGTTTGGTATACTCTAGAAAAGCATATTACACTGTTAGTAAGGAACGGTAGGCTACGTCTTTAAAGGGAATACACATTAGTACATTTGAGAAAAGGAATCCAGTATTCAAAGGTATTTCACACACACACACAAAAAAAGATATTTCACTGGCAACTGTAAAGCAGAGTAATGTTAATATTAAAATATATTAAAATAATTAATATTTAAATATAAAATAGTTAATAGTTAAATATATAGTTAATAATTAAAAATACATTTTTTTGGTTAAGGGAATTCCTATTAAAAGTTGCTACACAGTCCTGAATAGACACTTCTTGACAGATTACCAATGCACAGTAAGAGATATAAAAGGACATGAAAGGTGTCTGAAGCACAAGCACCATGATTCAGCTCACGCCAAAGTGCCATGATTGCGATCTATGTGCACTAAGTTCTTTCCTTCATCTTCACTCCCTGCACCTCTCTTGCCTACAACACTTACATATGCAAACTCACAGGTATCTTTGAGGTTTATCTAGTAAATCAGTGGAGGCAGTGCCTTTAGAACTATCTGATAAAAGGCTGCAGAGACAAAAATACAGTTAACAGCAATAAATAGCTCTCCGGGAATTCAGACAGGAAGAATACTGTTGTCATTCACAACAAAGTGGCTTTGAATATCCAGAGGAGCTTTAGAGCAATGTGCTAAAGCAGAAACTCAGCAAGCACCATGGACTGCTCTGTGACACAGGCGATCAAAAATCAGGTAAGATTTTGCAACAAGTACCTGCACTGCTTCACTATTTTGTAACATCATACACAGACACAGCAGCTGCTGTGGGTATCAGAGAGCAGGACGTTCTTTGTACTTATCTGTCATCAGAGCATCACTCACGAAAGAAAAATATTTGGAGCAAGAAGAGACGCATTGCTTTCAGCTAACAAGTTAAATCATACTAAATCCATTAGGCGAGATTGTCCTATGCTGCTTCCAAAGTCAGTTAAGGCTTTGGATTATCTGGGAGATACGTGCTAGCTGTGGAAATTAAAATGTCCAAGGACAAATGACCTTGTTCCATCAACTCTGTCAGATGGTTTGCATGTTTTTTTTTCCTGGATTTTTTACAATTCATATATTCTAAATAACATACCTTGCTTGTCCATTTCTCCCCTTCATTATCTGTTAAAACTAAAAAATAGCCAAGGCTTTTCATAGGCAAATCTGAAAAATGCACCAGTTTGCATGCATTATTTTCACGTTTAAATTATATGGATATGGACAATTCCAGGCCAGATTCTCTAATTTTGATCCAGCTTTATAAASAGCATGACAAATCGAAATTCCTCCCCAGCACAGAATCTCCAGCTGAGGAAGAGCCACAAACTATGGCATTCTCACTTATCTTCCCCAACATTGTAGGTATATAGAAAAAAAAGATATAAAAAAAGAGGTATAAAAATAAGTGTTTTCTTGCCTAGGATATTTTTATTGTTAAACTGTTTCTCTTGCTTTTCACTCCATGTGCAATTATCCTTTCATATACACAGAAATACTGCCTTTTACAGTGTGCATTTCCAAGATACATATACCAAATAGAAACTCATGGAGTAGGTTAACATGCTACCATTACATAGTAGTCAGGATAATTCTATCACAATATTTTTATATGACAGCAAAATCTCAGTAAATCTCTTAACTGTTAACAGCAATTCAGATACACCTAGAAGACCCTCTGGCTTCCAGTTCTACTTTGTAAAGACAGCTCTGCAATTACTCACTATTTTTTTCACAACWCTTTAGCTATATCCAATGAAGTTGCTATTTGCATATTATGAAGCATTAAGTAATTAAAAATAAACATCTGTCACAAAAATTACCAAATGTAATGCAATTTCATAAGTATTATTGTAGTAGTATTAGTAACATTTTATTGTCTTTTTCCGATTACATTACAGTTTTAGAGCTGAACTATGGAGACACACTAAAATGGCATATAGTTTTCACTCATGACTTTCTATACCAAGTAGTATGAAATATGTAATTATTATTCATGTCTAAAAGATTTATAAATCATAGTCCAAACTAAACTGCATGAGTACCTTATTGAACCAGTTCATCTTTCTAAGGGAATCAGACCAGAACAAATTATTTTTAGCATTCACAGATGCTGATTTTATATGAGGATTAAAGAGATTATGAAAAAAGCAGCTTCTACATACTTTGATTTGCTGTAGATATTTGTAATGCTATTACAATAAAAATACTTCACACAGTGCTATGTAAAGACATAAATGTATTTTAAGTACATCAATGAATGATAAAAAAATTGTTACACTACTCTTTTTCCCAATTACCAGATTAATATAGGCAACAAGAAGAAATATTGTAATCAGGCAAATTAATGAGGGGGTCTGAATAAAACCTCAAGTGTCTTAATTTCACTGCTCACATTCTCTAGAGTATTTCAGTTCAAGTCAAGAGAGTCAAGTGCAGAATAAGTCTTTAAAATGTTTTTAATCACAAAATGATGCCCTGTTTGCAGAGGCGTAGCCAGAGCAAGGACAATGGCCTATTTTGGGGAGGGAAAAGGCCCGATCCACGTGGATAACGTGAAGTGCACGGGAAGCGAGAGATCGCTGGCAGACTGCATCAAAGGGGACATTGGGACGCACAACTGCCGCCACAGCGAGGACGCCGGCGTCATCTGCGAGCACCCGGGCAGGAAGGGCCCCGGGAGCAGCCACAAAGGTGACGTCTGCGGCCGCTCGCACAGGAGCAGCTCTGAATTTCTCACTCTCCAGGGCACACTTTATCTTTACCTGCCAAGTGCTGCTTTTACTTGTATCAGGATAAGTAAGGAAGATCCCTATTAAAAAATCCTAGACATAACTCCAGGCTTACACTTGAAAAGCAGAGCACAACTGTGTAAACTGATTTGTTTAAAAAAACCTTAACCAGAGTAAATCTTAACCACAAAAAAAGAAAAACATCTTAACCAGAACTACTAAGCCTGAGAGAATCCAGCCTATTTTCCTGGAGCAAAATTTGAGTTTAAAACTATCATGAAAGAAATAATAGTTTCAGCCTCCTTGTTTTTCAGTCAAGTCTCATTGTAAATTGGATACTTCTTATTGTGAGTTTAATGCTGTCTACATTCCCCTTTCTTGTTTAGATTCTCTTGCTTCTGTTTGTGGACTGAGGTTACTACATCGCCGACAAAAGCGAATAATTGGTGGGAAAAACTCTTTACGGTAAATATTTGGTAAAGACAAGTCATTTTCAATACAAAGCCTCAGACATGTTTGCCATAAGCCACCTGCCTAAGTTATGTATGGATGGTGATGATGATTATTCACTGCCCAGTACTTGAATTTTACTTGCAAAACGCTTCTCTGATGATACAGTTATGGAACTGGGCTTTTTGCTAACATTTTGTTCCTAACCTTTAACAACCTATGTTTACATACGATTACCATCCTTGCCCCCATCACATGCTGCTACAATGGGAAGCATAGACACAAAGAGTGGAAAGAGATATTAAATCTCATTTTCCCAGATTTAAAAATGTGCAACTTGTTTTACTCCAGTTTACCTGCTAGTTTGACAGTAGTCAGAAGGTACTTAAGGCTACTTGCTTGCTTATTCCCCCATTTTGCTACTGCTCAATYATTCATCACATCCCTTGCCCTCCATTCTTTCCCCCTTCCTGTACATAACTGATCTATAAAACTAGTAAAAATTCATTACCTYGGTAAGTCAGGGAATATATATCCCATCTCTACTAAACGAGACAGATGACACAGGCTGAAAGAAGGCTTGTTATTTGTATTTTTGTTCTTGTTTTAGATTTCTCAATTTTTAAGCTTCCCTTTTCAAAGAGCTCTGGACAGACAAGCAGTTACTAATGCAGATAGGAAAGGAGGCAAGGATAAGTTCTCAAGAAATTCCCTTTTTCCTCCACCCAGCTGTCAGGAAATTTGTCCTACTGACCGTCTCTTGAGCTGCTCAATATTCTTTATGTAGAGACCAATGTTCTGTACCTCTTATCGGACTTGGGCAGCATTTGGGGAGGAACCCGTAGAGCATAGCTTGGGCACGATTAGTTCAATCCAAGAAGGTAAAATTAAAATATTTCACAGTGGGAGCAAGTGCTTGGCATGCTGGACACTCGGGCTGTAAACTAATCTCAACCACTAAATTCTGAATGCTGTAATAATATCAAAGGTATTCCCCACTGTTACTCCATGAACAACAGGATTCATAGGCTATTCCAGTTGAAAAACTATGTTTAGCTCGGGCTGTAGATGCAAGGTAGCTGCGAACGTGCCCCGCTCCGCTGGCTGTTGGCGCAACGCGTGTGCTGCTCTCCGCAGGGGCGGCTGGCCCTGGCAGGTGGCTCTGCGGCTCAAGGCGGCTCACGGCGACGGACGGCTCCTGTGCGGCGCCACTCTCATCAGCAGCTGCTGGGTCCTCACCGCTGCCCACTGCTTTAAGAGGTAGCTCAGGCTTCAGCAATGAGCCACACTGTCAAGCTAGTGCACTGTTACGGGTAGCGGCAAAACCTTCTAGGCTGAGCCCATTTGAAGATTGTTCCAAAGAGTTGGATTTTGATTAAAAAAATCCTTCTTTTTTTCTTTTTTCCTTCCCCGCAATATATAAAATATATAAAAAACACTAATATGCTGAAACTATTCTGAGTTTTCATTCTCACATTACAGAGCCTGCTGCCATCAGTCAGCAGATGTATATTCAAAATTTGAGCTTTTCCAAGGCAAGATATAGATAATACTGCTGATATTAATGCAGCTTTCTCTTCCAAAAAGCTGATAGACTTGTCTAATTTTCTATTATTGATGACTAATTATTTCAAATTCGGCTTCTTTCCATATTTCCATTAGCAACCTATTTGCAACTTACTCTCTCCTTACAAACACAATTGATCTACTTGGTCTGATTTCTTTCACAACTTTCTATATTAATGTACAACATGGCTTTTCTAAATGTCTTCTCCCATTTTTGCATAAACAGTATTTTGTTACTGATGATTCTATTTAGTTTTTGTGATAAGCCCATCCTCTTCAGTATTTCTGAGACAAGCAGTTCACTGCCAATGAAATTACTGTAGTATGAAAATATGGAATTGCAGAGCATGACTATTATCTGCTCTTCCCAGGGGCTTGCTTACTTAACTGGGACTCCAAGTGACTACTGAATTTGCTGAGAGCGCTTTTTAGTTTGCATATTTTCTCAACACCTACATGCTGAGGGAGTGTTAGAGGACAAGAGCAGGGAGCTGTCACATTGATAGTCCCACATCTGTGCAGACATTCAAGGGGCTCTTAAACTGCTCCAACTGGAAAAGCCAAAATACTCTTTTCCCCTACTCGGATTTTAAAATCCATCTTTGCTTCTCTCCGAGTCCTCTGTGAAAGGCGCTTAATCAGGCCTAAGAATTTGAACTAAGAATTTGAAGTTTTGTGATATGCACTTTTTTTATTTTTTAATCTATTGCAAATGTTATTTGTACTGATTTCAGGCCTGCATTTATGCAACATAAAACTAATCATGCAACTCAGCCCACAGATATACTGAAGTTTATTGTAAGACAGAGAAGGCACCTCTCTCTCTGATTTGTCATTGGACAGACCGGGCTGAACTTTCCAATGYTTGAGGACTAAGTTTCTAAGATCTATCTATAGATAAGTGCCTTCAGCACATATTTTCCAGACTGACAAGAGAAAAGAGCAATATATCATTTCCCAGATCTGAAAACCAGAGTACTGCTTAAATAGAAGTAGGCTCAATTATATTAGGGTTAACAATTAAATACAATTTTATGCATGAGAGCAGGAGTTGTTCTGCAGCACATAGCAGCACTATCTGGTTTCTGTTATTTCACACACAAAGAATTTGATTTTGATGCAAAGTTGTAGCAATATTTGAAGCTATTTTTTTCCTTTGTAACCTGTTCATTGTGTCACCAGGTTTCATCCAAAACCATTCTGACAACTACAGGGCAATTTTCTTCTTTTGGCTTCTTTAGGCACACCTCTATGCCCACATGCACTTCAGCACAGTGCTGGCAAACCTGCTCAGAACTGGGGAGCCTGAGACACAGGGGAATTAACTGGCTGACAACATGCCAGAGATCAAAGGGAAAACTCATATTAAAACTTACTTCTCTTAAGCCTAGCAGGAATGGGCAGGTGAACTCAGGTGTGCCAGGCAAGCAAAAAGTATTTATATTTGATGCTAATGACCACATACGTTCCTATTCTAATAGGATGATGCTCAGACATATACCAAAAAATGCTGAAATACTGGTTTCTAATATTATTCTTTAGTATATCTAGTGGAATGTTGTGGCTTACAGAATTCCATTTTGAATAGATACCTTTTAAATGCAATGAAATGATTATAAACAATGACTATAATAAAAATTATTAATCTATTTAGTATTGCCTATGTGACAAATTTAAGTATTGTTAAAAAAAAATCCAAAGAAATACCTCAATTCTAGAAACTCGGAGAGTGCCTTAAGAGTCAGGATTCACAATTCTGTCTTTTTCCAATGTTCTTTTCTTACTCAAGTTCTTGTGGAAATTTCTTAATGAGTCAGTCATCAGTTATAAAACTTTTGCACTTTTATAGCCAAAACAGAATGATATATTAATAATGTGACACAACAAAGTTTTTTAAAAAATAAAATCTTCGAGATAAACATAGTGAACCACATTTTTTCCCCCTGCAAGGAAATAAGCAATGTGATTGGTTGAATGTTTGGCTTAATTGTAACATGTGGTCCTAGAAAACCCTACCTATGAAGACAGCATGTTAAAGTAATTTAGCATAACTTGAAATTTCAGAAAAAAATATACACTATCCTTTAAGATACATTTGAATGCCAATTAACTTATTTGAGAAAGCAGTTCTGCTCTGTAAAAAAACTGCTGGCAATGTTATTTACCTGAGCAGTAAAAAGGCACTGATCAAGCTTGGTTGTACATCTCAGACCCAAACTGTGCGACTGAGCCCTATTTGTTTTAACCTGAACTTCAGGTATGGCAATAACACTCGGAATTATGCCGTGCGAGTTGGAGATTATCACACGCTGGTACCTGAAGAGTACGAGGAAGAACTCGGAGTGCAGCAGATAGTGATGCATGAAGAGTACAGGCCCGAGAGCAGCGACTACGACATCGCGCTAGTGAGGCTGCAGGGCCCCGAGGAGCAGTGCGCCAGGTTCAGCGCCCACGTCCTGCCCGCCTGCCTGCCGCTGCGGCGGGAGAGACCGCACAAAACCGCGCYCAACTGCTATATCACTGGCTGGGGTGACACAGGTAAGCACCTTTCACTGCTTTCTACCACCCACTGACATTAGTACCTGATGCTGCTTGTAAAAAACAAACAAAAAGGAAAATAACTGATTATAACACTAAAAACATGTGTGTGAGGTCTTGAAAGGAATTAAAAGAATTGTCTTCTACTACTGAGTACACATGTTCAGCATACGTAACAAAAAGAGCTGAAAGCACACAGAAACACTACTGGCTTGAAATACTGTCTCTTGCACAGCTTTTACTGAGCGTTAACGTTTCCTAAAACAAGTTAGCTTGGCAACTTTAAATCTCATGTTACTTACACARTACAAATTACATTTTTTTTCCTTCTTACATGGCCTTCTTTTAACTCTCTGTTGGAGGAACTATTCCTAAGAAGAGCCTGATGAAAGTCAAAGTATAACCATAGCAGCATGGCATTTTCAAATATGGATAATTGTGTTGTTCATAGGTTCMTGTTTACAGCATGTCTGCCCAGTCCCAGCTTGACTTGCCTTCCCACCACTCTCATCCTCTACATTCCTTGTAAGAGCAGATTTGCACTGATTTACTTCCTAAATTATATAATTTGTAAAACATGCTCCACTCCCTCCACCCAAAGACAGAAATCATCCTAACTTCATATACTGAGAGCAAGGAAAGGTGCTCTAATTGTGACACCAGTGAAAATTTGTAAGCTTGCAGTAGCAAGTAGAAAAACAACACACAGAGGAGTACATAAGTACTGCAAGAACATAAGTATATTCCTGCTTACGCAGAGCAGGATTGACTACAAAAAAAAAAAAAAAAAAAAAAAAAAAAATAGAAGGACAGGCTCTATTCCCAGAAAAACTGGATTAGTTGAGGAAACAGATTTTTGGAGTGAGACATTCCTGTGGCTACATTTGTTTGYTTTCTAGTGTCTAGAAGCATCAGGATTGTAAGATACTGTCCATCTCTAACAAAACATTCTTGAAGTCGGCAGCATTAACTCTGGGCTGAGGTGACCAGCAGCGGGCATATACTTACAGTAGTTAATGATGATGGAGCTCAGGATGATGGTGCTCCAGCTGGGAAGCTGATGGATGGTGCAGCACCTGCCAYCAATGAAGCGGAAGGACTTGAACTGGAGACCTAGAAATGAAGTGTCCTACAATTTTAGTCTTTCCTGCTCATATCTCCAAGGAATAGCTACTACATTTCAATATTAAATTATTATTATTTTTTTAAACACACTTTTATCTGTTAACCAACAAACAAAAATCTAGTTTTAGAAAGGTCCAGCACATGAGGTATAAACCTGAATCTTACTTGAATGTTAGGCTCTCAAAAAAATAYTTAATTTGTATTCTGTACTTACAAAAATCTATTTAATACTACTTTAGTGCAGTGGATTTTCATTGTTATGTTAGTATTCTTTACAGTCATTTTATTTAATGGTAAGATGGTATGAAGCATAACTTTATAAATCAGATGAAATTTTATTTATGCCTCCGAGATCAAGCATCGTAAGACAATTATGTGGGTCCTCTCTTCAGGGCGGGCCTATTCAAGAACACTGCAACAAGCGGCCATCCCGTTGCTGCCCAAGAAGGTATGYGAGGAGCGCTACGCGAGCAGGTTCACGGGAAGAATGCTGTGCGCCGGGAGCCTGCGGGAGCGGAAACGCGTGGACAGCTGCCAGGGAGACAGCGGCGGGCCGCTCATGTGCGAGCGCCCCGGCGAGAGCTGGGCTGTCTACGGCGTGACCTCCTGGGGCTACGGCTGCGGCGTGAAGGACTCTCCGGGCGTCTACACAAAGGTCTCGTCTTTTGTACCCTGGATAAAGAGTGTGACCAAATTATGAATGTCCTGAATCAAAATCTGGCAATACGTTTCGAGGTAGCACAGCTTAAAACAGCGCAGACAGCTGGGTCCCACAACACATGGGAACAGATGTTTTCCCAGTTCATGTGTCTTCCTACACACAACCTTGCCAGCTAGGGATTACAATGCAGATAAACTTACAGATAAACTTCTGTTTGCGGAAGTTTATATTCCATGAACAAATATCCATGTAGATAACGGCAGAAGCGATCACTATCTTAGAGTAACATTGGAGCGCAACAGTTGGAGAGTCTACTACTAGATTCACTGTTCAGAGATGACTATCATAGCAGTTATTCATGCTCCAAGCTTCTCTAGAGCCACAGATCTCAAAATTAATTTCCAGTCTAGTCTATTTAATCTGTCCTTGGCCATTTCCCTATTTATTGTTCCTATGGTCTTATATTCAAGTCCTTTCACCTTGTCTCATGTTTCATTCATCCTGGTGAGGATTCTGTGCAGGCACTGAAATGTTACAGGAAAACAATACAAAAATCCCCAGATAAACAGTTCTCACATCTTAGTTTCCAAAGCACATTCCCAAGCAAAGCAGACAAGGCTCTGGAAGCAATTACTTTCTCCTCAAAAAACCCTGCACAGCTGCATGAGCTAGATCAAAAACTCTACTTGCTTTGAATTTCAGAAAGACAACCATTCTTGATCTAGAGGGAGCCTTCCCCATCCTCCTCCTCATTTTTGGCATATGCATGTAATGCAACATGCAACATTTTGCATTTAAGCATTTAAGGTTTTTTTCTTTCTTGCCACTAGCCCTTGGTACATTATCAGTCTCAAACAATCCAGTTCTCTAACAAAAATTAAAATAATACAAGCTCATAGATTATTGGCTTTGGAGGGGCTTTACTAAAGTAACATTGGGAATCTCTACTGAWCTTACAAGGAAATTAAGTGTAAGGATATAGAATGCAAGAACTAGAGATGTTGAGCCAATACAAATTTTAAAAGGTTATAATCTTAAATAAGTTATATAAAACAAGGAATTCTATCATGTTTAGTTGGAATACCAATTCAATCTGACCTAACCAGAAAGGTAGAGCTACCTGAAATTCGTATACGCAAAATACTTGTGTATCCTTCATCTAGCAATTACTCACCCTTCTCACTGCAATTCAGGATGCTATCGGAAAAAACAGTCACGGGGTCCCAAATGTCCTTTTACATTCCAAACAATATTTAACATGACTAAAAAAGGTAGTTTCCAAAGGCTTAAGCTTTAGCATACCTGGATTCCCTTTGTCAATTCCTTTCATAAGATTCTGTTCCCAAGGCTATGGAAACCTTAGTTGTTTATTATAAAATTACTCTGACAGAAAGTGACTTCTACTTAGTACAGCATGAGATGTATTAAAGAACTATTTAGTAGTGCTATTAACTTCTTTATCACACAGAAGACAAGTAATTATGTTTCCAGGGCACCCTGTTTGGTAACAAGTTAATTCCAAAAGCTTTGAAGGTCAAGAAATACTCCAGTGTGAAAGATGGGGCCGTTGTGGTGGATATAACTGTACAAACTGTGACTACCAGCTACGGTTTTTCTGTTTCCTTTCTCCAAGTATTCCAGCTCAGTGTTATCTGGCCTTTTCTGAACAAAGTAGGATCCTTGTGTTCATACTATAAGTGGGTTATTGTCCACTTCTGTAAGCTTCCATGGCTCGCCAGTGTAACAAATACTCTAGACAGTTTAGCTTGCATGCAAAAAAATGGTAATATTGCAATATCCCATGTGATGGAAGACTTGGTCCTCAGTTTTTCTCCAGACCTCAAAAGTGATTTTCAAGGGCCATGACTAGTTTAAATACCTTGTTGAATTGGTGCTAAGCTAGAATACATAAGGTGCTTTTATACAGTATTTAAAGCCTTCTGTAATTCTGCACTACTGGTATAGCATGAAATACTTAAAATTAAAAAAAAAAAAAAAATCACAGTACAACAACCATCTGTCAGACCTATATGAAACACTCTGCTGGTGATTTTTAAATCCATTCATATTTTTACTGCTTATATAGACCCCTTTTAATTAAAATGATAGAAGAGGAATTACATTTGTCAGAAGAAAATCTACTTGTACCATCAAAACTTTGTTAAATAAGGCATGCTATTTTGATGCTTGTGAAGTAGCCTGTATAGGGCAATATAGTGTGTGATGTGTAACGAGAAATCATGATTTGCTTTTAGAAGTTGCACTGCAGAAATACTACACTTCAACAAATCTAGTCTGCACATTAAGCATGGTCAATCACTCAAGACTTAGTATAGTACTTTGCTAGTTTTGCTTAGTTTGCTTGCTCTTTTCCTAAGATGCTTTAATGACTAGACTCCTAAGTGTCGCACTAGTGTTTTCATGGTGTAGTTTCAGCCTTTTTAGTTTCTAACCAGGGGGAGCTGTTGGTGGAACTGACCTGTATGCCACCTGCATTTTTGTTYAAAGAGCCTGATGATGTGTGTACAATAAAAACTGCCACACTGACTACAACTTTTCTTTGTGATTTCTGTGAATAATATCCAGGAAGCTCAGCTGAACAAACTTGCTGTGGGTTAAGTGAAATCAGGTACTCTTGAAAAATATCATGATTTCATCTTCTTCCAAGTATATGAACTTCTGAGCATTTTTTCCATAAAAGCAAATTTGCTCCATACCATCAAACTTTCAACTTTAACTGCTATTATTGTAGGAACTGCTAACTCATCTAGAGCACTCAATGAAAAGYAGTCTATCCTACATTTTCAAAAGTACTTGAGAGATTTCTGACCTCTGCCACTTTTCCCTTTGTTCAACATTTGTAAAATGCACTTAGTTGCAGAAGACAAATTCTACTCTCCCACCTACCCAGAGGTTTTGTTATGAACAGACTGGTCACAGGGGTTAACAGTCACAGAAACTAAAGCAAACACTTGGCACTTGGGCTAGAGGACCAAGGTAAACACTGACAGTGGTCTCTCCAACTACCCCAACGCTACAGAAGTTCCATTAGGTGCAGTCTCTTTCAATTTCAAAGATTTTGTGATTTGATTTCCGTCTTACATTAAATTACACAACTACTCAACACCTTTCCAACCTTTCACTGAAATGCTTTCCCTCAACTTGTTCATTTTCAAGAGAAGACAAAATGGAATTGCACTGGAAACAACGAATGAGGGAAGCATTACTGCAGTTGACAGACAAAAATCATTTAATGAGGGTCCATGCAATTTGGTCCGATAACAGCTTTCTGAAGTGAAGGCACCTTATGCACAAACACTGAACCACAGATGAACCGAGTGCTCTTTTCCATTCTCAGCTACCTAGTTTTCTGTTACACTTAAAACAGGATTTTCCTTTGCTACTCTCAGCACACAACTGGCAGTCCATGCTTATCCCAGGTAAGGCCACATAGCCTCACGAAGGGCACTCTAAAAGCTAAAAGACCTACAATTTAAAATCTTGTTTCAGAAACTACTATAGAATAATGCTCTGCTACAGGCCTCCAAGTTACTTTAAGTTTTATATCTGGTCCCCAACACCACTGCTGCTTCTTGCTTTTCACGCCTGCCTTTATCTGGTTTTCTTCATAGGATGAAGGCCAGGCACAGAGAAATTCTGCAGAGGAGCAATCYCACCAGCTCCCAGAGGTTGCACAGACCTTCCTGCCCTCACCGTGTCTCTGGAATAGCAACAGCTCCCTCCTGACCACTGTCTGCCTGGCATTTGCTTAGGATGCCAATCACTCTGCCCTTGCAAAGATGTGCTTACTTTTCTAAAAGTGGGAAGGCAAATGAAGACCAGTTTCCTACAGAAAACAGAATTTATGGTGCAAGCTCAGACCAGTGGTTACCAGGCTTTGCAGGCATGAACTTGGAAGCCTAGGCAGGAAAGGTCACATACAATAGTGCTGCATGCAGAGCTGTCAAACACAACTGAGCAGGTGTAGCACTATTTATTACAGCTTCACACAGAATACACATTCAGCTGTACTTTGTCATCCCTGGCAGAAAATACACACAAAGTTCACAGCTACCTGCTCTACCTAGACAGTCTACTGCAAAGCACAACTAACCCTCCCATGTGAAGTAGTTTCTTCAGAGGCACTTGCTGCAACTGAAGTCCAGAAGCACCTCAGCCCCGCCACAGCAAATACTGCCCTTTCCTCAGCTATCCAGTACTGCAAAGTGCAAGCACACTGTCCTCTTGGCTTCAGATTTGTGTGTGGAAGATACTCCACGTGTGCCACAAGAGAYGGAGAACATGCCTTACCTAAGACAAAAAGCATGGAAACACTTAAGCTGTCCAGTCCTGCAACCATTCACCATCTACTGGAACTCCACATATTGTTGAATATGGCTTAAATAACACATCCCTCAGKAGCCAACACTGCACAAGCAGCTACACTCAAGTCAGATTTTCGTCCCTCACCAGCAGCCTCTGACAGAAAGATCAGGTAAAATGGCTGTGTATGTGGCTGTGTATCAGCCACAATTACTSTGGCCTGTATCCACAAAGGGCAAATTTAAGGACCAGCTACACACACATGAGCAAATCCAGAACTGCTGGAAGCGAGTACACCCAGATTCGGTTACTTGCAGTCTTGTAATGAAGAGAAGACAAATGGAGTGAAAGTCAGCATCTCTTTATTAACTCACTGATACAGGGAACGCTGTACATTGGTGTGTACATACAAAATATGGCTGCAGCTGTTCAGGTTCACTTTCCAGACTTTACACCAACTTACCTTAATTGTAGTATGTATCCTATATGTACTTACTGCAAGATTGGTTAACATGTTCCAACAGCATGAGAACCAACACTGAACATACACTTGTCAATGGATTTAAGGGTATCGCAGCATGGCCAACCACAAGATAAGACTATAGCTCAGCCATTATAGTTAGCATTAATGAGGTTGTTTGAGACTCTGTGACAGACATGAAGCAGGAGCAGCAGAAGATTCTGCAGAGCTGGTCACCCTTCYGGCGTTCCCTCATGTTTGCATACAAGCAATCAAGACTAGTTTCAGGCACAGTAAGCTACATGCCAGTCCATCTGTGCTCTTAGTAAAGATCAGAGAAACAGCAGGTCATTTCTTTCAGGCTCCAGGACTGAACTCRATTAGAAAAGCTCCTATCTGTTGAGGCTGAAGACAGATTAAGACTTAGACAAAAATTAACTCCTGTCAGCTCTGCTTGGTAACCAGAAATACGACTGCTCACAAAATGCATCTACACCAGATGACTAAATACAGCAAARATGGCTGAAGAGCCCAATGCTCTCCTACATATTGTCATCTACTCAACTTAAGCTATCAGCTCCTTCCACTCAGCTCCAGGTCCCTCTCAGTATTCTCTTCTTGATAGGACACTTCTACAGATGGTTCCCAAAAGCCTGGATTCATATGCCTCTGGTGCARCAGGCATTATGCTTTGTTATGAGTCACTATCCTAATGCACTGAACATGCCTAGACACAACTCTCCTTCCTAGTTTTGCTCTTGATTTTATCTTGGGTTTTTAAAGAACAACCACACAAATCAAGCATAAAAACAAAACAAATAACAACATAAAACAAAAACATAAACAAAATCATACACAAAAAACCTGAAATATCCTACATCTTAATTTCTGTGCCAACAAACCAAGTCTCACCAACTTAGTGGCCAAATATAACTGGTGAACTGAAATTGTTCCCGCTCAAAGCTTCATTCTTAACCCTTCCTTGTGCAAGACATACTTCACAACGTTCTTCCTTGGGAAAACTTGGCAACAGTTGCTCGTCTCTGAAAGCACCTTCGGAGAGAGGGGAAAAACAAAATGCAAATTGAAAGACCAGACCCCAAAAGCAAAACCCTCAAGGTCAGACCGCCAACCCCGCACACCCCTGCCTGCTCGGAGTGTTACTTGCTACAGTCAACAACTGATACCAACGGGTCGGTACAAGCTTTGCCAATTAGCAAGCCGCTGCTCTTCCATGTCTAGGAAGGGGAACAGCCACGAGCGGCAGCCCCCATGAGACCATGGAGCCCCGCGCGCCGCCACGTGGCGGCCGTGCCCGCGCCGCCGCCATGTCCCGCTGCCCTCGGCCCCGCCGCGGGCCCTACCTGCGCCGCCGCCGCCGCCGCTCCGCCGGGCTCCGCTCCGCGGCCGCGCCTGAAGGGAGACCGCGCCGCGCCGCCCTCTTCCAACGGTCGCTCCGCGCGCCCAGAACATTCGAGCTCGGGCCGCGGCCGCTCCCCCCGCCCCCCGCCAACGGCCGCCCGCGCGCCGGCCAACGGCCAGCGGCCCGGTCTCGCGCTGCAGGCGCCAAGAGCCGCGCGCTGGCAGCGCAGGTGCTCGTGCAGCGGCCGCCCCGCGCGCCAGCAACACCCGCGCGCACGCCCCGCGCCAAGGGCCCCCGCCGCGACGGGAGCCCCGCGCGCGCCCCGCTGCACGCGGCGCCGCCGGCAGCGGAAAGGGCGGGCAGCGCTCGGCGGCGCGGGCTCGGCGGCGCGTGCGCAGGCGCGGGCCCCGCCCCCGCCCCCAAGGTAAAGCATCCAACATGGCGGGCGGTGGGGGGTGACGTGCACTGAATTGTGTGGCTCAGGAGGGGAGAGTTTCCCAGAGACGGGGGAAGGGGCTCTCGGTTGACCCTGAATGTTCATCTGTGAGAACAGGCTGGTGCTTTCCTAGGAACGCAGGCAGCTGGGCAATTAAAACGCATGAGCCTTAATCCCCTTCTGAATTTCTCAACAGAAGAGAAGCAGAATGAGGAAAAAAAAGAAAAACGGGGAAATGAGGAAAGAATATATCGAAGAAGAAGACAGGGAAAGAAGTGAACAAACAGACTACATAGTGGAAAAGAATCAATCTTATCATGTTTTTCAAATCTATCACTCTTACTTCGTCTAAAGTCTTCTTCCATTCAGTTTTCCCTAGCTCTTGGTTTCATCTGATTTTTCTTTTCTTGTTCCTGTGATTTGTCCTTTGATGCTGACTGATGTGTCTTCTTCATCCGTCATTCACCCATGTAGTCCATAAGGACAAAAAAAGAGGTCTCATTTGCCTTTGAGGTCTAAGAGTTTGGGAACTGGAAGAACTGGAAAAAAATAAAGCAGATGAATTGGAGACAGAAGTTATGTAGTTTACCCTAAGAAAGGTATCCTCAGGTCTGTGCAGGCTGATGCAATGGCAAAACTACTAAATTCCCAAGGCTAATAATTTAAGTAAAGCTTGCTTGTTCTTTTAAAAATAGCAAAACCTGGAAGTGTTTCTATAGCACAGGAGAAAATTTGGGTACGATAAGGGAAAAATAAGCAGGAACCAAAAGCAGTAAAACAAGCATCTGCATAACACAGTAATATTCACTCAYGGAGACAGTAAGCAATATTTTCCATTTGTGAAAATATTTCATGCTGCTCCCATGTTCCTGGATTGTGCTGTAGCTGAAAGCCAAGCTGCAGACAAAACTGGAAAAGGACAACTTGCATGAACACAAAAACCACCTCTACACAGCAGTACATTTTCTTATCAGAGTTTATTGTTGCACTTCATATATCATGCCACTATCAGAATAATATCTATTTTTATTTAAAAAAAAACTTTGAGAAAAATGTTTCCAGCAATTTTCATTCAATGTGAATGACAAGAATATTACATCTATAAACATTGAAATATCTATTTAATTTCTTCCTGAGGAAGTTTCACATTTTTAAGCAATGAAAAAGAATATTCTGTACAAGCTAGTCTGCAAATCAGTGAAACTAATTATTTCTGCACAAGTAGAACTGGGAAAATATCACAGTATTTTCAGGAATGTTTGCTCAGATCATTAAGTAAATTCATATCAGTCTCTGTGTTTAGACCCCCTAGTGGTAACTTTCTGCTAATACTCACACATTGATTTTTACTGGCACAGACCTCCATGTAAAGCAAATCTTAGAATTGTATTTATGAAAACAAATGTGAAGCTCACATAACCAAGCATTTGTAAAGAAACTGCCTGTGCAGTTAGCTACCAGGAGAACAGAAACCACAGCTGTGTTACCAACCACAGTAAACACTTTGACTAGCAAATAGAGCTCCTTTGTGATGATCATTATTCATCTTAAATAACTGTTAATATTGACAGTCTGTTTCTGCAAATCGAACCTTTTAGACAAGTTGTGAACAGAAGAGGTTAAACTTTGTCAGATAATACTGTATGTTGTATGACTTGCTTCCTTATTCCTGTGGAATAACATCACACCTAGCTGTTGTCTGCAGGCCTTGTTTAGGCTATTCATCATCATGTTCACTGTACATTAAAAGCCACTTCTATTTTTGTAATCTCCATATTAAATGTAAGAACATATTTAAAGAGAAGAGTTATGGAGAGAAAAAAATGGCTTTGTACCATCTTTTTATAAGCAACTAATATCYGACCATCTGAAATGAGAAGCGCAAAGAACCAGCTCCATTCACCGCTGCTTCTCTATTGCTTTTGTGTGGGAGAAGAGCACTTCTAATGGACATGCTGCTACCCTGCAGCACCATTTCTAGGGATGCTGAAGTTTAGCAGCTTGGTTTCAGTAGGAGCTTGGACTGGTGAATGTGCCCTTTTGGAGGCACGTTTTCAGGGACAGGAGGTCCGATTACTTTGTTTGTACTATTGACTCTGGTAAAATTCTCACAGGAATCCAATGAGAACTGCCCAAGCACTCAGGAAAGAGCTGAGGCCATAGGAGAGCCCCAGCCTCCTGCTCCTCATCGGTCTTCACTGCCATCACAGCACTCCTTCCAGAGGATGAACCTAGTCTGGCCAAGGCCACGGCTGTGCATGGGAAGTGCCTATGCTCTGCATGCTCCAACCTGACAGGCAGCCCTKGAGCTGCCTTGGCTATAAGGGGTTCCTCACAAAACCACAGAAGGCCAAAGCTCTGGGACCAGTCAGCTTTCCTGTCGCAGAATTCCTGGAAGGACAGTGTGACTGATGTGCATGTACACACCACCACTCCATCGAGGCTTGGCTATCTGCTCATCAGTCTCCTCTTGCTAAGGCCTGGATTTTGCAGAGGAAGGAGAGAGAAATGGCATTCTTGGAAAGAAAGACCCAACTGTGGGCATGCTGAAGCCTCCAGCATGGAGGAGACAGCATGCAGAGAAGTTGTTACCTCAGCAGGAAAATCTCAGATGCTTGATAATTCCTATTTTTGTTGGKTTTTTTTTCTATTGTACAATTGCTACTCTAAAGAACATGGGCAGAGGCAGCAGAACACAAAACATGAGTTTTGTGCAATCCCTTTTTTTTTTCTTTTTCTTTCTTTTTTTTTTTTTTAATATTTGAGTGATGGTAAATTAGGTTGTATCATGGATAAAGTCAGCCATGCCAGGATGAGACCCCCAGGTTTTTCTCCAGTTATTCCATTCTGTTGTAATAAATCCATACAGATGCTTGAGGGGCACATGAACTGTCCACAGCATTCAGAGAATTTTGCATTTACAGATATTCATAATTCAGGGTGTTTCTTTTATCAAAGTAGAAGTACATACAGCAAGTTACCTTTTTGACCTAATCTATGTAAAAGTGAATAAAGTGAAATGAAAATTCTCCAATAAAGACGTTCATCTTAAAAGAACGTGTACTCTAGCAGGTCCTTGTCATGCATTCTCCTTTAGCAAAATGTGCTGCAAAAAGAGCAATGTTATATACAGTGAATTTGTCCAGATCTTTTTCTTTACAGGCCTATTAGAACCAGATATTACATAGACAAAATCAATAAATAATAAAGATTACCACTTAGAGATACAGTAAGGATCTCAACATGTGTTTTCTGTTTAGGGAATAACAGACTGGTTTTCATTCCGTTACCTTGAAAGTTAAATTACATGATTTCATAAGTATTTTAAAACATTGAGACTCTGATTTTTTTCCCACTATTTGGTGCATCTTTTTAACTATTAGTCCTGAAACAAATCATGGCAATATCACAAAGTTATTGTAAAAAAAACTGCCTTAAGAACTGTAGCTGTCTTTCACCTGGTATTTTTTCACTACTTCTTCATGTCTTTTAGATACACTCGGAGCACAAGTTCATCGAAGAAGCATTAAGGCAATATGTAAAAGAAATTTTCAGTGATCTCTTCTCACAATTTGTAAAGTACCTTTTATCAGACTATATCACACGTCTAAACTGACATATTGTGAAATGTACCACTGAAATTTCCAAAATTACATCAGTGTAAGGCTGGGTATTAGCCTTTTCCATGATTAGAGCCTAATTTTTTCAGTGTTACATGCTGTGTTCTTTTTTTCCTTTCTAAAGGTTATTCCTAATATTTAATATCAAACTTTAAAAAAATACCCAGAACCAGTGTTTATACTGTGAAATCAGATGTTTGCAATGGACATAAACTGGACGCATTGAACATGCTAAAGTTTTGATCAGGGTGAAGGCAACTCAAGGAAAAAGTAGTCATGCAAACTAAGGCAGTTTAAGTATGGATCTATTCCTGCTCTTTACCAGTTTTTCCYTCATTTCAGTGGAGTCATTCCTGGTCTCATAATAGCTCACAATAGCTAGAGAATAATATTGCCCATAAAGGTTATATTGTAACTTTTGTGCTTCACATGTCCAATTAAATTTCTCTTTACATACAGTCTACCTTCTGTATTTTGACATTTCAATCAGTGAAAAATCAGTAATTACAAATAGAAACTCTTATATCATTGTAAGATTTTCCTGTTACAGGCTATGACCACAGGTTGCATCCCTTTTTTGCTACACTGCTTTAGCCTGTGCATTCCAGATTTTGCTCAAGGAATTTTGTGACTGTACGCGCCTCAACTGTATGTGGTAATTATACTTCTCTGTCTTGTTAGCATATGCTATTTTGTTAGTATATACTAACTACCTTGCTAGTATATACTTTGTTAGCATATACCTTGTTAGGATATACTTTGGGTATTTGCCAAGCTGATTCCAAAGGCAGGAGAAAACTTGGCATTTTCTGCTACACTAAATTTTCTGACTTTATGCAAGACACAATAATCAAATATTAAGAAAAAATTGTCAGAGGCACAACAATGGACGGCAAAACATACATGAGACACAATACTTRTAAACTGATATATAAAAGTGTAAATATTTATGGTGAAATTGGATGGGTCATGTATCTTTGAAGCTTACACCAGTTTCAATTGACTTCCACAGATGTACACAGAAGTCCACAAGTCCACAGGCCCAGAAATGATTATGAGAAAGACCGTGGCCCATCAAAGTTCTAAGGAACACATACATTTTCACAGTCCACATGCCAGCACATGGAAATAACTTCTTTCTTTTACTCTTTTTTTAAAGAGGTATATTTTACAACACCTTCTGGGAGCTCCTGGAGACTTTAGGTATGATGACTGAAGTGTGCAACAGAGATTTTTTCAATGCTATCTTACTTTCTGCAGCTCCTGTCTTAGCCATGACGGCAGAGGTTGTCCCAGTCTGTGTAGGAGTTTCGACAGTTCCACATTGTGATCTCTGTAGTAGTTTGACAGAAAAGCCCTGCACTGATGGATATAAAAATAGTTATTTTTATTTAACACAATGCSTCAAAGTAGTTGCTGTGAATTCTGGGTTTTGAAGTTCATTTAACTGCGTCAAAACTTTACTTTCCCTTCTGTAATTTATATTGTTTTAAGCTACCTAGTGCATGCAAGTTTCAGCTCTTCAGTCTAGGAGCTGAACTACAGAAGATAATTTCAGGAATAACTGCAGTATAAAGGATATCCAAAATGAGCATCAAAATCAAAGGATTTGATTTTTGCTCTCAGATTGTCATGTCAATTAAGAATTGCTCTGAAACTGATACAACTACTTCAAATTTACCCTAGTGTGACTGAAAGTCATAAAGAGCATCTAAAATTGCTTTGCATTCAGGCATCGGCCAGTTTGTATCCCCAATATTCAGAGGTATTTAGAAATGAAAAACAAAATAAAAACAAAGTCTTTTGTTTTGCACTAAAGCACTAACTGTCATGCCCTACGTACTCTGAAGGATGCAGAACCAGACACACATATATCACACCTGATCAGGACTGCGAAGCCTCCGCTGGTTAAGTTGCTTAGCTACAGGGACTAGGTTTCTGCATGAATTTCAGGGAAATTCAGTGCTTCCAAGCTTATTTTTCTATAGGGTGCTAGGTTTTAGAAGTTTTTTTTTTTTTTTTTTTTTTTTTTTATATGACTTGAATACTTTTGATTTGAAATAAAAGGGCGAAGTAGTCATTATACTCTGGCTATCTTGAATATAATCAAATAACTAATAACTTGCCCTTTTTAATATTTTGCCTGTGTGGTATCCCACAGATGGCAGCTAAATCCTTTTTTTATGCCAAAGAGAATAATGGTTTACCTCAGAATCCATAGGAGGGTATTTTCTACCTTTGCTCTTTCCAAGACACTTGGTTTTTCCTTCTTCCAGGAGCTGACACCAGAAACCTTTATGTGAATCAAACCTGAAACAAATGTATTTTCAAATACATCAGATAGCAGTGACACTTTCAACTCAGAAATAAAATCAATCAAGTTCCCGTATTCTAATAGTTGAGTTTTTTTGTTTTTCTTTCTCCCCACCAGTAAGTTGGTATTAACAGTAACTTGAGAAAAGAGGGAAGACAACCGAGTGAACAGAGGAGCTGAAGCTTACTGTTGGGACTGGAAAAATATTGTGGCAGAGACACTGGTATATGCTGTTCATCTTAACAGATTAACTCAATAATAATCATAATAAACTATGCCATAAAATCTACACGGTCTGCATATGTTGACATGTACCCRTTGGTCATATACTTCAGAGTATATCTTAAGAATTACAACTTCAGCCAGGAACTACACATTGTATATGCCTTATTACAGGCAGGAAGTGACATATCCAGTGAACAGCTTCTCTTGGTCAGAGCTGTTGATTTAATCTTCTCTCCTGCAGAACTTCTGCCAGCTACGATATAAAGCACTTTTTTCTGGCTGAACAGACTTTGTTTTCATCAAGAGCAGTACACTTTTTTTTTCCATCCTAATTAGCTTTACCCACCTCTGTAAGGCATGTATGTTAAGATCGCTAGTCTATCCTTCACTTCCCGCTGTTTCATTGTCATTCTATACATTTGGTATGTTAATATTGGCCTACCTTGCATACCACTGTAAACTTAGAAGTTACAAAAAATGATGTCTTTGAGAAAGGATACAGAAATGCAAGCGGAATTTGTTTCATGTTGCTGCATTGCAATCTTAATAACAAGTAGTTACAAGAAAGGAATATTGTGTCATCTTTTGCCAAAAGCCGTGACAGAATAAATACATTTAAAGACAAAGGCATTATTGATGTAACTAAGATGATGTCATTGGCCTCGGTGCATTTTAACAGAACAAGTTGCTTCATTTCCATGAAGATTCCTTGTGTTCAAGAGCAGACAAAAATGTGTGCTACAGAACTAGATGCAAATGGGATTAATTCACAGTATCTGGGTCAAAGACTTTGGGATTCAAAACAAAACATAATTTTCAATACACTTAACTTCAAGGGTGAATTGGGCCCTTTATGTCCTTACAGTGCACCTGACTATGTCTTTAAAGATAAAAAGTCTGTTTTGCTACAAAAACAGACAAAAAGAAACAGGATACAACTGGATAAAAGCATTAAATAAAGATATATCTAGAAAAGAAAAAAAATATTTTCTGAGAATTTCTTATAAAGACAGACAAAAGGCTTGCATTCAGAAGAGTAGCCTAACGTTATCAAACTTATTTTTAGAGCAACCAAATCTAAACGTCAGAATTCAAAACACTTGTGTATGTGAGAGCTTCTGACATGTGAAATGGATGTTACACTTGACACTAATATTGTTGAATCCTTCTTGTAGCTGATGTTGAAAATAGAGAAACTAATTCCCTTTCTTTCTGTTTATACATGTTGGTTCTTTTATTGATGGRAATAAAATTTCTTTTTATTCATCCAGAATTCATATACGGTTCTCACAAAGCAATACTTAATCTGTCCATTTGTCAGCCTGTTTCTGTAACAAGCTCCACATTTAGTGACTCAGTGCATGATTCACAGAAAATGTAACCCTGCATTGTGTTCTTTGCAGACATTGAAGAATATCTCCCAATGATGGCTCATGTGACAGTAAAGTCCAAGAGGCTTTATTAAAGGTACTTATAGGCCACTGTTATTTTAAGAATATAGGAACACGAGGTTATGATGATACAGTTAACTTACGTTAGGGCTTCAGAGTAATTATAATGAGGAGAGACTCCCAGAAATTTCTGCACTTCATCCATCACAGTAGATGGGTCAGTTCTCAGCTGCTGTCCGTCAATAATTAGCAACTACAACAAATAAATGGATGTTTAATTTAAAATTATCATGTAATGTTTCAAATGAAAACTTTCACCTCTATTGAACTCATTCACCATAGAGCAAGCACTGCCCCTGTTTTATTTATCATCATTATTAATGACCTGGGAACAGGATAAATAGCATGTTAATTAAATATGAAATAATTTAATTTGGAAGCTGTTGTGACAACAGAAAAATAACAGTTAAGGATCTGGAAAGATCTGAAGTATTGGAAGGAAATTGAATAAGATTTACCTATCCAAGATAAAAGGTATTAACATCTGGATAAATAGCATGCAATTCTCATAGACACAGACATACACATACATATGCTAGAGACTTACTGAGAAGCCAGTCACTGAAAATGACCAAAAAGACAGCAAATAGTAGGTAAATGTTAGGTGGAATKCTTTGCTTCCAAAAATGTACATTGTTTTACAAGAATATTAATAAAACTAGGTATTAGAAAGCCTTTAAGGCAGGACTGTAGGTGGATATGGAATATGGAACAAATCTCTAAGAAAGCCAGGTTCTAGTAGGTAATGTCTTTTTCTTCTTCAAATGTTTGACCAGCTGCATGGGCTGACCATCTACATTTGACCCAGCATTCACACGGGGCTACTTCAGATAGTGCCGTCTCTATTTGAAGGTGAATCTTAATGGAAACAAGACTCTATGGGATGATTTTATCAAACACAAGCTCAGGCCTAAATGACCCTCTGATGGCACAGTATGGTTGGGACTTTGTGACTGTTGGAAGAGAAACAAGTCCCAAATGGCCTGGTTGAGCATTCATTTTCTGTAATGGAAACACCTCTGCTTTTTCCACTGTGCTGTAATGATGAAGACGAGGTGCAAAATATATTTGCAGATAGTTCAACAGTCTCATTCTGCAAGCTGTGCTGAAGCTGTTTTTTATGTTTCTATGCAAGGAGAGAGGCTAAAACCATATGACTTGCTTTAAGGTTTTGATGAAACTTWTTAGATTCTGAAAACTATGAGGTTTCAGAGCATAATCAAAAGAGAGAAAATGTGTTTTCTTTTGCTCATTCAATCTTTGGAACTGCTCATATATAGTATGTGGTTTTAGAAATGTGAATGTGTGGAAGTATCAGGCTATTCAGAAAGCAGTGACTCATCCTATAAGTCTTTGCAGTACGAGACATTATGATCGCCTGACTCCAAAAATGAACCGACTGCCTTCTGGAGAAGTAAACTTTCATAGCACAGAGGTCAAAAACATCTCAACTGGGCAATGCTTTTCTTAATAATGGTTATTGCAACATAAGCTTTATTTCTAGTAGAGCTGGTGCATTAGTGTATCTTTTAGATCATGAGGGAGTTCACCATGACAGGTCCTCACTTCTTCTACAGCATTGCACTGAAGCAATGAATTACAGGTGCAAATTAATTTTGCATGACCTTCCTGAACTTACAGTGATTCATCCTGATGACCATCATATAGAATCAAACATCTGCAAAAATATTTGCAAAGTACTCCGAGATTTGCAAATTAAGAGTACCACTTTAGAAGAGTGTGCTATTGCTTTTACCTACCCTGACACTATTTCTATCCCTCACTGTATGCCTGCTGACTTTCTAACAGACATTAAAGTCACAGCTCAGTCACACAAGTAGATACCCTACTATTTATACAGCAATAAAAATTACAAATGGCTTTAGACAGGCTGGCTAAGTGCTCCTTTTGATAGCTAAAGCTCTCATTTTGTAGATAGGGCTATACTTCTAAGCTGATGTGATTTTAGCTTTGCCTTGATCTGATTTTAGCTTTGCCTTATGTAACCTCTTTATGCTTCCGTAATTTCTTGAACTTGCCAGGAAGTTTGGATGCAGCTACCATACTTTGTTGTTTTTACAATGCAAGTTAATGCCTAATGTTTTTACAGAGAAAACATAAGGCTACCAAGGCTAGTTCTTTGCTATCATCATGGGATGTAAAATCTGGCAAAAATTGCTTTGATGTTGCACATTGTTCAATTCTTGAGAGAAACTTTGGAAAAGCAAACAAAAACATGATGTAGAGAATTTCACGAGTGTCATGACATTACAATATTGTATAACTCATGAAGTATCCAAGGCTGGCCTATGTGGAAAATAATATCTACTGGATGCATCAGTGCTTCCTTGGCACATTCTCAGAAAACAGAAGGCAGAGATTCCAGCCAACTTCTCTCAGCTAAGCTAGTCCTGGATAAGCAGAAGGTTCAGATTGCAGCCAACCTCCCTCAGCTAAACTAATCTTTAAATGTTGGGTGGGAAGTACTGCCAGACATACTGTTAATGTCAGAAAAATCCATTCCAGTAACAAATCTACCAAGGAGATGCAGCTAGTGTGTTATTACCTGTCGAGTCTTTTACACCAGAGGATGTTCAGGGCTTACTTAGGCTGTGCATCTTTTGAGTTTGATCCTATATAGGCCAGGAGACTAATAACGTGTGTGTTATGTGCCAGCTGAAGGTTACTGAGAAGATGCACTTTTCAAGCTGCTTATATACACACCTGTGTACAACTCTGGATCCATAAACACATACCCTTTGAGACTCAAAGACACGCAGAGAAACAAAGGWAAAGTCAAGGATTCAGGGTAAGTGATAAACAGCAACTTTGGAGCAGCAGTGCACCAGTGAAATGGCTTCAGTGCATGAACAAGAAGCCCTGATATGTGGGTGTGTAGGTTTTGGCAGTTACATGTAMAAATTTCCCCCCAAAACTTTCCGAAGTGTGCAGGGGAAATATTATTGAAGATTTCTGTTACTTTCCATCATTTTTTTTTTTTCCTTTGGAAACACTGATAGATCTTCTGATACTAAAGCGACCATGAAGCACTGAATGCCTCTTCTGTTTTCTTCAACAAAAAAGACAGAAATAAAACGATGAAAGAATGAGCACATGGAAAACAGCTCTGTGTTAAAGGCAGTTAAGGGTACARGAGTGTTCAAGAAGCAGCAGTGAAGCTTCCTGAATCTGCAGATTATTGGTTTGATTTGATTTGCAGAAGCTCCTAGCTGTTAAGGTGCTGGGTCATGGCGTCTTTAGTAAGCTAGAGACAACCAATTAGAACATGGTTATGAGTAATCAATTTCTTGAAATATAGTATAGGATATCTAGAATATCCCTGAGGATCAGTTTTAAGTAATATTTTTACAAAGATAATCTTTCAAAATATTACATAGACATGAATAGGAYATGAAGTTACAGTCTTAATCACCTGATAAGGTGGGAAGTAAGTTAGCCATCTTTCAATATGGGTAGCATACCATCCAGGCGCCAGGCATCTCTTCTGCAGAGCTCTAAGCTCGKAAGGGGCTCGAGGTCCAGCTGTGATCACCTGATAGAAGCTGAATTTTAGAGCTGCGGGGTCTTCATGTGACCGCTGATGCTGTAAAAGAAATTGTATTGCTGGAACTTCATCACGGACCATAAAGTCATGAAAATGCAGAAGATTGCATGGACAGTCTTACCAAACAAACCTTACTGACCTTACCTTGAGCGGCTATTTACATTATAAGTTACTTTAGATGCATAGATGTTTATTTTCAACAAGCTGACTGGCTTTTGTATGAATCACTCTGGGATAACAAATACAAATACTAAGGAGTTCCATTTCTAGCAGTTTTACTGTTTTCTAGATTAATTCTCATCAAAACAACAATGAAAAACATGTCACAGGAAATCTAAGAACTTTACTTTGTTTGTAGTTTTATCCTGCTTTTATCATTGCCAAATTCCCATTGAAATTAGTAGATCAAAAGAAAAAAAAAAGTCTTAACCTAAATGAAAGCAATTAATTARGATTAGGATTGGAGAAGCAGAAGTCCATCCTAAAAAAATCTTGCTACCTTTCCTTCAGATTTCCCATATGCTCTAGATATACATCAAAGTACCTGGTACAAAACTAGCCTTTAAAATGTCAGTAGATAATCTTCCCTGATTCTTTGGAATTCATGGGGATCCATCCATATATTAATCTAACCTTACCTTCAATTATCCCTTTTAATATTAGCCATATTCTTGTCATCTCTACTAAATATTTACTATTACTTTGTAAAATTTTACAAATCAAATCTGGGGAACCTACTTATTTTTATAATATACAAAAATATTTTTTTGCATTRACATAGCTTTTCCAATATTATAACAAAAATGAATTACAGCACTGAAGTACTAATGGAACATTAAACTAAAATATTGCAGYAGTGTTTTCCAAGTACTCAGTGCTCACAGTGCATTTCAGGCAGAAGTTTTATCTTTCATCTTTTAATATTTTTGCTTCCATTTATTTTTTAACTTGGTGTTTGCAAAAGAACAGGTATTGGAGTATATATTAAGCTTCTATTTTGAGTCTGAACTGGGCAACTGAGTCTATAAACTATTTTTTTTAAAGTGCTGATTACATACATAATTAYGTTAAGCATTTTCACATACTTACATTACAGGCAGTTTTGAAAATCTATTTGCAGCTATTTTAACCTTTAAAAGATTTACATAATTACACYGGCAAACCATGGAATTTCCAAAAGATTTCCATAATTAGACCGATCATCCCATGGAAGATCATATATGGCACACTGACAGACCAGTAAAAGTTTATATTGTTGAAATCCTTTGTATACGTGTATACTGAGAGGATGCACAGATAGGATTCAAGGTGAAAACTTGGCATATCTTTATTTGATTTGTGCCTGCCCATGTTCTTCCAAGTGCCTACCTGATACCAGGAGTACGCCCGATCCGATGGATCAATGAGGATGGTGATGATCTTGGCCTTGGGGATGAGGGAAGCAGCTCGTTTAGGAGCTTCCTCTGAATGGAAATAGTTGGCGCTTTTCTCGAAGAGGAAGTCGGTGGTGACATTGGAAGGAGTGGGAAAGAAATCCATATACCTACCAAAGCAACATCATTATCAGACCCACTCAAAAATCAGAGAGGTCAGTTAATATTCTAAATATATTGTGTTCTAAAATAATCATTTGGAATAAGAGATAGCCTAATTCAAATAAAATCACACAGATGTTTACATTATATTTTTGATTATATTTTACTTGCTGTCAGCTTTGACTACATATAAGTAGATATTGATGCTATTTTTGGTAAGTGAAATAAAATGTTACAATATTCACATGTCTTAAAATTAGTGAGTTCTCACTTTTCAGTCAGAACAAATTCTTGTCACAGTCATCCCTAAAAAATGAGTTTTGCCAGCAGGGTCCTTTGCTGATGTGGATTACAGTGCAATAACATAACAAGAAATATTTAGGATGAGAATCACTCTTACTAAAACCAGAAAAGAATTTGTTAATATGTGGAAGATGCAAGAAACAAACAAACAAAACCCCACAGCTTCATCAGGTAAAAATCAATAAATGACAGTATCTTTTTATTCTTCTATGAATGACATTTTTGTGGAAATGTGTTGTATGCCTTTTCTTTTTCACTGTGAACTTTCCTTATCCATCATGAAGTTCCCTTAATTCCCAATAATCCCCTATGTCACATGCAAACTTCTTTACCCATAGGCTTCAGACCACCGTTCATTATTGGTGGGGAAAAGGGGAAATGACAAATGTTGGTCTTTTTGCTTAAGTGCAATTAAACTTTGCACTGATAAGATAAATGCTATTTAAAGCAGGCTCTTCTGAAGATCATGTTTAAGGACTGAATTTTTTTTCCAGGGCTCAGAAATAACAATTACTGTTCTAACTTCAAAGGCGTGTGTAACAAAACACAAGAACATTAGAGAAATGTTTAGAAGAAATATTTAGAAGAATGTTTGGAATGTTTTTTACCTTTAAAGGTAAAAATTCTTAAGAGAATTAAGAAATAAGTATTTTGTTATTCTCTTATTTTCACTTTGGAATATATTAATATATGAATATTTACAAGAAAGTCTTAGACAAGCTAGCGCATTTGTGATATGCTGTAGTGAGACCGTTATTCTCTTGCACCAATTTATCATTTTACGAGGTTACTTTTTATCTCACTACCTCTACACAAACAGTTAACATTACCAACAGTACTGTCATTTTTGTATTGTGCACAGTATATAAACTTATATTTATACTAATAACCCATCTTACCAATCAATCCCCCTGTGGTAGTTATTTCTATTAAAGAACTGTACCTCCTCAAAGGTTTTTGGGCTAGGGGAGTTACTAATGATGGAAGGATGCATGATCAGGAACAAATACAAAGCTGTGGTACCTGCAACAGGATAAAAGCCCAAGATTAAAAAAAAAATTACCCATACACACACTTTTTAGCTCATATCTTCAGATGGACCAAACTTTTCACTTCAATGAAGGTATGCTGTTTTAAGTCACCTAAAATCTGATTCTGTACTTTTAGATCAGACATTTAAAGCACTATAAATATGGATATTTACAAACTGCACATTCCATTAATGGAACATGGAGTGCCAATGCTGAAAATCTTTTTTTTTTTTTCCCCAACACAAAAGTATTGGAAGAATAATTAYTGTTTTTTCAAAGCTGTCACTAAAACTAATTGAAAATCTTGCCCTCAGTAACTATACGTTATTGGTAGAGATGCCACGAAGTGGATATGTGCATCACTTGATGATGGTGAAGGAAATAAATTATGAATTTCTCTGTAAACCCCTGCAATCTTGCAATTCAAACTGTCCATTAGGAACTTGTTGACTCAAACTAAATGCTATGAAATACGTAAACAAGATGGTTTATTTGCTGGACAGAAAAAAACATAAAGTTACGAAACTATACATGACTTGAAAAATAACTTGACAACTCCTTTCTCAGCTCTGACAACATCTTGTCAACCAGGCTGATCTCTTCTTCAATGTGTTGCTCATTCTGAGCTAAGGCAAATTAAAAGCGGCACACTCCAGAAAAATACATTTTCAAAATGTGTAAGGTCTGTTGATTTAACTTACATTAAATTAAATCTGGATGATGTATGAAAATAAAAAGTGCTGCCAGATGATAAGGATCTCTACAGAGTATTCTGAGTAAAGGCTAATTGTCTGCTATAATCACCTGTACTTACATATATCCTATCTTGCTGAAATACAATAAACTCTCACCAGTTTTCTGGGGTCCTACAACCAAGAATTTCGGTAATCGATCACAGGTTTTTTCTTTAGACCAAATATCTCTGTGACGTTTGTCATCACAGGGATTCTGGAAAGGGAAAAAAAAGCAACAACTAACATTTTTATTGGCAATGATATCTATTATCGTTCTAAAGTTCTGRTTATATTCTCTTTGCTCATTTTTCCATGAACACATTCTTGCTAGAAAGTACTATTTTCCCTAACAGTGGAAAACCATGTTATTTATTAAAATATGCTTTCAGTAATTCATAGAGGTATTTGCAGTGTTACAAGATGACAAACTTTACGTAGATTTTTATGAGAACACTTCCAAATAAGTATGTTGTAGAAACGTGGTTTTCATTTTGATCTGCTTCTACATATATAGCCTAACTCCTCAAAAGACACAGGGTCAAGATMATTTCTGTTGAAATATCATTATGTTCACTAACATTATGCCCAAGACAAATTTGATCGAAAATACTTAAGATATTCAAAATCTGACATTTGACCAATTACACAGAAATAAGAAACACTTAATTTGCTAATGACTTCTCCAACTGTAGTTCTTTCTTTTATACTGCTGCTGCAACAGTTTTTACAATGTATATGCTCTTTTTTTATTAATGAAACAGCAAATGAATTACTAATTAAGGACACTGTATCTCTAATTTTCATTTACATATATGTATTCTGAGCTCCCAGTCCAAATCAATAAATYACACTGAATCCAAAAAGATTCATGATTTAGAAGATTTTTCTTTTGCTGCCTTAGATCTGTACTGATTTAAATATTGGTTTTATAAATAGCAGCAAAAAATAGTGTTTTTTGGCAGTACTTAGCTGAGATGAAGAGAACTACCAACCTGCTAGGCCAAGAAAAAAAACAGTGTTTTTTTGTGACTTACAGACAAAAGACACAGCTTTCGGTGTACGCTGGTGAATGTTACTTATAAATTTAAAGTRTTCAGGTCATTCAGGTTAATTCTCATTTTTGAAAAATTCATTCTTCCTAATATGTTATGCAAAATTCTTGACATTTGCCTGACCTGGTTCAATGTTTTATGCAGCAATGACGTGAATTTCAAGTTGTGTACTTTAGTTCAAATTTTCAATCTGATATTCAGAGAGTGGCAAATCAATATCCAAAACATTTGAATGATTATGTTTAAATATGTTTTTACTTTGATTTAATAAAGCTTAAAAGGGAATGATGCTAGTGAAAGGTAATTAACCTATCAGATAAATGCACTAAGCTTTCCTTGGATATTTGGGCCACTGTTCACACTAAATTGATAGTATTTAAACTGAATTCCACTGAAATGACTGAACTGTCACTGGAAGCATGTAAAAGTGATAACATTGCAATGTTCAATAGCTCCTGCACAGGCTTCTCTTTAGGGCCTGTGTTCATCTACTTATAGTTGGCTAGTCAGTTTTAGTATTTGATCTTAGTCCCCTTTTTCCTTTGTTGGATGCCCTCATACTCTTTGGGGAAAAAAAAGTAATTTCATTAATGATAAGTTGCTAAATTATACACAGCCATCGCTAAAAATTCTTCATTCCTGTCAGTTCCATAAGGAGAAGACAAAACAAATAACATGACACATCTTTCCCCATTCATAACAAGTAAAGCCACAAATAAAATAAATGAAAGACTATTTTAAATATGCCTATTAATACCTATTAACTTATCTCTATCTTTATCGTGATTGAAGTGACAGAGAAAAGAAATGCTTTTCTTGAAGCTTCAATAAACTGTTTTACGGAACCAGCTAGTAAATATGACCATTTTTTTCTTTACAAGAAACTGAAGAAAATACTTTAACAAGAAAAAAAACAAAACAAAAAAAMCCAGCAAAACTAACTTTTCCCTTGATCTCTGCATCAGCACCCTTGCATACCTGCCAGAGAGGGTCTTTTTGCTCAGGGAATAGTTCAAAGTACTTGTGAGCCAGCTGAATCGGGGGAAGAGTTTGCAGTTTCAGGTTTGTCCAGGTATGAACAAAGTTGGCCAGGTTCACAAAGGTGTATAATCCCAGGCGGTCGTTCCCGTAGTTAGACAAATGTGTCATGAAGATGCTAATCTTCAAAGAACAAAATATACAAGCATATATTGATTCTTGGTGTCACTAGATGGCAGAATAACCACAGATAAGACAAATCTAATTTGTGTTAGAGCTGCAAGACTTTGATCACATTGGTGTAGATTTAACTACCCATGCTCTTCATTGAATTAAATCCTCCTTCTCAAGGAAGCTCAATGCAATCAATGAAACAAATTGCAGAATAGGTACTATGAGCAGATGGAATACACAGACCTTAAGGATGGAATGCACAGACCTTAAAGACGGTAATTTGGGGACCGATGAAGGGCTGAGAATCGAGATTTCTGTTTTGCTAAATGATAATCAAACACTAGTTGAAAACACAATTGACAATCTTGTAAAGAAGTCATATTTAGTTTTATCAAATACACAACCTTATATGTAATTGTATATGTTTGTCTCCACTACTACTCTATAAAACATCAAAAATATTACAGATGAGTTGAGACTACCTTTCAGGAATATTTGAACAATAAATTTTCCTCTCATGCTGACTCTGTATGAACAAACTCCTAGTAAATGTATGTAAAATTAGCAAAACAAAATATAATCTTGTGCTGCATAGACAAAGAATCATTGCTGACCCAGGGCATAAGTAAGCAGGTCTGATGCCTGGCACCAAACAGATAACATGACAAATAACTTTCCTCTACACTTTGGCTTCAGTGGGTCAATACAGACCCCTACACAGGCTAGGGTAGCCTGGGAACTCCTGCCCCTCATTTTTAGCTGCAAAAGGTCTTTATAGCAGACTTGAGCAATAACTGGAATATGATGCTATATATGGCCATGGTGATGGCCTGCACCAGGGACTCCTACTCAAGCATCTTAGAGCCTGCGGTGCCAACGTGCCTGGCAGCTGCCTGCAGAGAAGTTGTGAGGACAGCTTTGTGCCCATGGAGAGACATATAAGCTGAGCACCCATCTCCCTGCCTACAAGGAGACACTGAGGTGCATCTGCCACGTTGATGGCGGGGGTTGGTGGCAGCTACTTCTCTCCTTTCCCATTGATCTGCAGAGAAGCGTATCTATCAGTTTGTAGAGAAACGCAAATAACGGTGGAAACACCTCTTATCTTTACATTTCCACCCACAGGTGTGCAGTTTCACACCAAAATGAAACTATTACTAAAAGCCAATTTACGATTTTTGATTTTTGTTCTCTCATTCCACATTTTATGTAAATAAGTTAGAGGTAATTGAAATGATTATTTTCCTCAATGCCAGCTAATAATTATCATGCTTTACTCTTAAATATTTGTTCTCTTAAAACCACACATCCAGAGATAAAAAATGAGTTCTTTGCGGGCATCTCCGAAGACTAAATCTAGTCAATTACACTATTTGTTCAATAATCTTCCACCTCTGGTCCATGCCATGTGATATAAATAGAGCTTCATATATATTTTTTATCCCTCTCTCTGAAAGAAAGCAGCTGTGAGCAGKTTTATATTTAGCAAACATTTCACCCTGTGACTTTTGATTAAAAAGAACCTATWTGACTTCTTTAAAGCTCTCTCTCAAAAAATTATTTCAAGCTTTTCTTTGAGCGCATCTTTGCATTTCCTGTATCTCAGTCCAAGAAGAATTACCCTTTTTAGCTTTCCTCCATACCAAATATCATCTTGGTTGCACTTCAGTGCACCCTCTTCACAGAATTTGGCATCTTTCATGAGGAGGCTGAAACGGAATGCAGACAATTTTTAAAATGATGGCTTGGGCCTAAGTCTGGCTCTGGGCAGCAGCACCTTCCTCGCTCCCACCCTTCTTCAGATCAGAGCGGCAACGGTGCTTCCCTGTGCTCTGCTTTCGCACACAGCCTTCTCGGCAGCTCTGCAATCAGCTCCTTTCAGCTGCTTCGCTGCCTCTCTCTAGCCCTTCTTCCCCCAAATGAATGGGCAGAGGGCTATTTCTGTTCTGCTTTCTTTCCCAGTCCTGGATTATATTTGGGATTCTGACTAGCACTGCAGGGATATAGGGGAACAAGGGCAAGCATTCCAAAGAAACAGCTTTTATCTTTGAATGCTGTGCTGTGTATTTCCCTGCTTCACAAACACTTCCCTATTAGAAGCAATAGCTTTTAGGTCAATAAATTACAATAAAAACTGAAATTGAGTTGCTGCTATTAAATCACACATGAAATCAGGAAAAGATGAACGGGCACGATCTAACTTATGTGTCAAAAACAGAGAAAACAAAACATACTTGACAAACAATTTACATTAAAAAATGCAGCAAATTACTCAGCTTCTAGTGACTGATACTATTGTGTCAGGGCCAGCACTTTAATAAACACTGATCACTTTTTGATTTTGTTTTAGTTGATAAAGTAGTAATAATAATTGGGAAAAAGTAACAATAAACACTGTCAGGGTCTAACTGTAAGCTATTAACACAMGAGGTCAGCCAGCAGAGAGAGGACTACTTTTTCAGGGTTCTTCTGGAGCCTCTTTGGAAAGCATCAAGAAGGTCAAGGAGAGCTGAGACTTGCTCTCAAGGAGATGTATCTCCGATCAAGGAGATGCTGACCTTGTAAAACAGATCTATTGCTATTATGGCATTTTGAAGCCAGGACTACAGTAGCTAATAATGAAAAAGTTGGTAATAAATTCTTTAAGTATAATAAAAATAATTATATACAAATAAACTCAATTTCTTATGGACTAGGCACAGTTCATTTCACTACTGTATACTAATACATACAAATCCACTCAAATTAGCACACTTTTTTGTATTATTAAACCAATAATGATGCTACTTTATCATGGACAGAGTGTCACCATCAAATCCGTGCAATTGCAAGGCAGCACTGAGGCCTTCCAGCACAAAGGAGCTGAGCATAGCACTACAACGTAAGACTGTGACCGACAACTAATTAGGTGATTTCCAGTAGCCATTAGGAGCAGAGGCATTATAAATTTACTATATTGCTGCTATTTTAGCTAGTGAACAAATGTTTACAGATCACAAGAGTATGTCTCACTCTCAGACCACCTCTATTCCCATTAGCTGGGCAGTCTGTACACTGTTTGCAATTCTGATCTCCATATYATTCAGAAGAGTTTTGTTTCAAGTATTCAGAGATTCCATAGCAGCTGCTTTTGCTCTGTTAGACTGACAAAGCGGCAGAATAATGGACTGGGCTGCAGCCTTGGCTTGTCTGTATGTTTTTAACAGGTTGAGAGATACTCCTTTTAGACTTGTGTGCTGCTAGGGTCTGATGCTCAGCTTCACAACACACAGGTTCCAACCTGCACCTCACCTTTCAGTTTTGTTAGGCTGCACTGCTAGTTTCATAGCTGCCATGGACTTGTCCACTTGTAAAGACAGCAAGGCAACTAGCTACATTTGATTTATGTAGCACTCTCTCCACTACAGATATACTCGAGACAAGGAAAATTTTTTTAAAAAACAAACAAAATTACATATTTGGTGTGGTGTGGAATTATTAACCTGACAATCAGGAAACTAGAGTTGATCTTCAGCCTTTGCACACACTTTTCTTGGGACTCTTCACAAACTGCCTACCACTCTTGTGACTCCATTTCCTAGTCAGTAATGGTGAATTTAAAACTTATTTACAGGCTTGTCCAAGACAAATYCTCAGCTGAAAAGCCCTTAAAAAAAAGGGTGGCAAAGTTTTCTTACTACYTGTAACTGTACTTATTGTACTTGTGTTCTAAGGAACCATCTCTACGCAGCTAATTCAGGCTGTTCCTCAGCCTTTCTTTGCTGCCTGCTTTTTATTTTTTTCTAGATTTTGTCTATTGCATCCACAGAATACTGGACTCCATCTGCTTTTTTATAGGGAGGCTTTGAAGAACAGCTAGAAATGCAAGGAATACTTGCCTTCTGCAGTCACCCAAAAGGCCAGGCAAAACTGTTTTGTTCTTCCCCCCACTTCAAGAAGATTMCCCAACTACTGCTGTGGTTCACACGAATTCCTAAAATGGGTATGAAGGGAAGGAGAAGGGATGTAATTTGCCTTTCTCACTCACCCTGGAGTGGGTGAAGCCTGTCAAACGGAGCAGTTTTCCTGAGACCTCAGGCTGTGCTCCCTCAGGAGCTACTGCAGCATGGCTGCAAGGAACCCAGCACATCAGTATTCTTTTCAACACCTTTGTTATCTTTGAGGTCTTTCATCACCAGAGAGACATCTCATCACTAAATATGACAGACAGAAATGGAAAAATTGAGCCTGAATGCCTTTGGTTTTGTATTTTTCTCTGCAGTTCCAAAGTCTGACTGCTCATCTTGTTCCAGGAACCATGTTGAGATACGGCAGGTTCTGCTGATACTCATATAAATTCTCTCATTTTTAGTACTAAAGGAGATAATTTCTCCCTTGCTGCAAGTCAATTATCTTAATAACAGTTCTACTTACTGTAACTTGGGAGAGTTGAAAATTAGAGGAAAATAATAATTAGAACAATGCATATAAAGATTGCAATTATTTTCAGATCGATCAGAAACAAAGCTCAAACTGTTAACAGTCTTCCCTCTTGATTAGGCCTGCTGTAACCATATGGAGAACACACAGCTGGCTACACATTAGTCACATTGTTGGGCTGTCAACCATCTCAAGGCTTTCCCGACCTCCTCTCCACAGGGCATTTTCCCTTTCTTTAGATCTACAGACCCACTGGAGCTTGTAAGGAAGTGCATTTAAGTGCGCATAATACTATTATTGTGTTTTGTTCTGTTTATTTTTCTTGGAGGTAGAAAAGGTATAGAACATTTTCATGAACTTTTCTTTTTTGGCTTTATACATTCGCCTAGAAGTGGATTACGAACACCTTCAGCAAAGCTGAACTGAGACAGCCCAACCTTTATTGATTGGTGTCAGTGAAAAAAATAAAGTATAAATTTTTGGYCCCCGTGAAATTTGCATTTTTCTATTAAGAATAAGAGGGTTTACTAGATTACTTGGATATTGGAGAATCTATCTGAATCTATTTTGTGTATAAGGATTGTTTAAACAAAACTTCATAGATTAACAAATTGGGGAGAGCTCTACTAATAAAATCTAAAGAGTTGGTATAAAGCAGGTAGGATTGACTCCACTTAATATTGTTGCTCTGCTTCATAAATATGATGTTTTTTGGTTGAAACTTTGCATTTAAAAAAAATAGTGAGTTTTTCCATACARAAAGAAATACTGAATATAACTAGGAATACAGCAAGTCTGTTTTGAATTTGGCCTGTTCTTCTAGGGTAGCATGACGTCTACAGAAACAGATGGCATCAAGTGTTTGAGAGACGAGCACAGGAAACTCTGCAGCTGGGAGATGTGTGAAAAATAATCCTCTATGAAAGCCTCCCTTCTTCTTAAGGGTTACAAAGAGTATGCGAGTCTATATGAAATCCATGTTTTATCAACTGCTACAGATATGAATATTCAACCAAGTTTATATCTCTAGTTCAAATCTTGATGAATGCTTGATCTCAACTATCTGGGAGTAAGATCCTGATACTATTTAAATTTTTAAGCTTCATTTATTGGCTGTCCTCTGTTCTTCCTTTTCAAGACAGATAACAGAAGTTCCTCTTCTACATTCTTCATACAGTTTCATGGTTGTTTCTGATTTTCCTCTCCTTTCAAAGCTTGATCATTCTGATTTCTCTTCAGAAGAGACTTTTTCTTATTCCTTCAAGGTTACTTATAGCTCATACTACATAGTTCAGAGTCAGCTTCCTGGCTGACTCGTTAGTCAAATGCTTCCAGTTTGAATATAAGTTTGATTCTGCACAATGTTCTACAGAACAGATTGTACCATGGATGTACACAACTTCATTGTGCACTGCTCCACGTTATTATCCACTCCATTCATTTCACAGTGCATTAATGCATTGAAGGACAAAGACCACACACATTCATATTTCATATTCATAAATTCACACTATGTCACTACMGGGCAACATGAAAGCAGTGCGAAAATCCTGCTGACCATACTGTGCAMAGAGTGCAGATCCTCAAGTTTGGGTTATTGATGTGTATCCAAACATCCAAACACAGAAAGCCACAGATACAAACACTTCTCTCTCATTCCTGGGACAGACCACGCTGTCTGTCATACTGTTAACGARTTAAGCCAAGGAGCCATTCCTGTGTCTGTGTGGTTTGCTGGCCTCAGGCTGAACAGGGGGTGTTCAACACATTTGCCTCTTGCTSTGCAGCCTCCACCAGCCTCACGGGACAGCAGAGCGATCCCTCACTTTTCTGAGCCCTTGTGAATTGCAACTGTTCAGCTGACAATAGTGGCTCTAACACCTCGTCTTGARTAGCTGGGAGCACACACACATCATGACAGAAAGTGCTGAAATACGCAGGACTTTTCTAAGCAGACTCTTATTCCAGTCGCGGTTGATATTTTTCTTGGAATGATGAAATTTGTATRGGCTTTTTGTTTATGTATTATCTTAAAGTGTATAGCTACTCACCAAGACATTAGTCACAGTCGCCACGTGCATGTTAATGAGTTAATGAGTTCTGCAGCTCATGTTTCTCTTTTGGCTTTGCTTTAGATTTCCTTGGCTCAATCTGTGCAAGTCACGGAGCCCCCCTGCAACTTAATTATCCAACCTATACTGTACTAATATTGCAGGCCTTTTGTAAAGTTTGATTAGTTTTCTTTTTGTGTCCAGGTGGAAGTTTATGATATGGTACAATCTTGCCTACRGGCCACTAAAATCAGCAAGATCTTTAACACAAAATATTATTTAAAAAATAGATACCATGTTGTATTACTGTTTAGGCTCCTTTTTTTCCAGGTTGGTAGCATTTCAGCTTTCCAAATGTTCTATGAACACATTGGGCACAGCTGCCAAGATCATTTTACAGACACTATCATATCACAATTTAACCACCAGTGTGGGTATATAAATGCATTCCAAATAAATACAGAGATATACAAACCACAAGATTAGCCACTCCAGCACACTACCTCTTATTTCCCATATAAAATACAACTAGCTGAGATCGTTCACAGAGCAGCATTTCCTGTGCAGYGTGATGCTTTTCTTACCTGCAGGACCTCTGACTACAGGATGCCCTGAGAAAGCAGCAATAATGCTGGTTCTCATGTCAAAAGCTCACAGATTCACACGCGGTTCTTTGTTTTTCTGTGGTTTATTCCACAGCTTGTGGTTGATCTGACAGCTACGGGAAGCAGAGCTCCTCTAGCAAAGAGCTATCGTTACGCAAGCAGGCCACAGAGAAAAGTTGGGCTGTTGATTTCCGTGTGGGATACTCAGCACCTACAGCCTGACTCTCACAACTTACAGACCAGAAACTACATTCACTTACGGCTACTGATGCAGGCTTAACCAATACATGTAAGAAAGACCTCTGTTAAGATTTAGATTTGATTTGCATCCACATTTTCCATTTTTGGGAACTAAATATTTCTCTTTTTAAAGAATATTATTTAACTGATACTGTAATGAATTCTGGGTAATATTAGAGAGTCCCTCATAAGCRAAAATGTTTCCTCCGAAAGGCAGCAAATATCAAATAATTTTTTCCAAATTACAGCAATTTATTTGGATATCATATCTCTCAGAACTATACAATTGTACAGTCTTAATTGTAATGCATAAATCCAAGATCATGTAATAATATACCGAAAGACATTCCTCATATTGAATGATGTTGGTTAGGCAGGCATGCTGAAGCTTCTGTTACTTTAAGCAATAATCACGATTTTCTTTGCTTATCTTGTTTTCCTTCCATTCTTTTCACTGTTTTAATTTGAAAGGCTTATGCCTACAGCAACCATATTTAGTCTTGCTGTTTTACTCTTCTCACGAGATAGTAAAGTAGTTTTTGGCTAAGTTGTGGCTGTGTTTCCAGTAATGAATAAATTTTATGTCCTACCTCAAAATATTGCTATAACATATCTTCCCCCCAGCCTAATCTGTTGAACTGTAAACTGTCAGCTAGGATTCATACATTGTCAAAGCATTAGCATTGTACCAACACCCTCTAGCTRAAGAGTTCTTCAGATCTCACTTCTGTTAATGGACCTTGACAGACATGATATGTACCACCAAAGTTAGGACCAAAACTATTGCTGTCTACTGTGCTGAGGAAACAAAGTTTTTATTTCCTGAACTTGCTAAGTCTTGTCTGGGGGAACAACAACAACAACAAAAACCCACAGCAGCTGCTATCTTAAATACATTAACTGAAAAAACAGAAAAGCTCCTTCTGTGACTGATCAGTACTGGAAGTCCTAACTGCATTGCCTTGAAGCATTCAGTAAATCACTCTGTTTCAAGATTACAATGTAGTACTTACTGGATTGAGAACTACTGTGAAGAACAATTCTCCTCCTTGGATACTTTTGTCTAGCTCCTTTGGGCCTCCAGGATATTCCTTATAGAAAATTGTGTGGGTGAATAAGCCACAAGTTTGCCTTGGAAGGACCTGAGGTTTAAAAATGGAGGGAGGAGTGTTGAAAAGAAAATTGCATAACAAAAAATGTCCATATGTACAATGAGGTAACAAATTCCATTTGTAAATAACACATAAACGGGYGTATTCCTTTATTGCTGTGTAGAATAGCCATAACAACTCCATTGAAAGTTAATAAGGGCCTAGAAAAATTAATATATCAATAGATCAATAAACAGTGCTTACTGAAAGAAACATTTTTGGTTTTTATCAGCAATGAAATCATAATGTCCAAAAATTCACATTTTGTTTGAAATTGGAAATCCTAATACCATCTTTTGCAATTTGCTCATCAAAACTTTCTGAATTTTTAAAGAATTGGAAAAGTGACCTGAAATATCATTGGTATATTTGCATTAATTTATTCCACTTTTTATTTAAAAGATGTCTTTAACRTAATTTAACCTCAAATTAGAAAGTCTTTATTTTGGTTTTCCATCACCTTCCAATAAAAACTCTTTGTTGAAAAGGGATGATTTTTGCTAGTGCTGCTCACATCACAGGAGACACTGGATTGTTCTCATTCAGCTCTGCTAGTTTTGTTGTATGGCTGCCACAGAAAGCAGCACTTTCTAAAACATGTATTTTTATATATTTGCTAAGAACAAGTCTTCTGAATGAGAATAAACGCAATTAGGCTTTGCATTAGGGCTCCAAAATATTTTCTATTGACTTAATAAAATAATTCACTGGAGAGGGAGCACTTCAATTATGCCTGTACTTTTCAAGTTGCGGGCCTAGTCACCTTTATAAATGTTGAAGCATAACTTCAAAAGGGGGAATTTTCTCAAACATTTCCATCCCAAATGTCCCATTCAGACGTTTCTAATAACTCGCATATTTTAAATCATGCAAAACCCTTACCTGAAAGAGACCGTTTTTATCGTTTTTTTTTTTTTTTTTCTTTTGGTTATATATTTCAATATCTTTTAGAGTTGTAAAGGATACCATGGCCTGAGATTGTGAGTGTGTGTGTATACACACTTATGGATTATCTTTATGTACAGGGTACAGATCCTCAGATGGCAAAACTCCTTTAAAGAAGTTAATGGTGCTATGCAAATTTAAAAGCAACTCTGTTAAAAGATGAAAGTTGACTTTTTCCTTCTGAACCAGTACTAAGAACAGCCAGTTAGCTGGTAACAATTGGGTGCCTGGAGACTACCAGTAACATCAGCAGTAACATCAACAACAGAATGATTTTAAAGAACAAAATGATGACACACAGTAATACATGCTTCTCACAATGTGAACTTTTAAGATATTGTGGTTTTGCGCTTAAAAATATATCATTCATAAAATGTTAGAGCAGGTGTAATACAAACATCCTAAAGAGAACTCACCATGATATTTTTGTGGATGAAGCCCCGTCTGTACCTTGCTGGCTTCAGATGTGGGTATTCTTCTGTGCTGGTAACCCGGATGTTCCACACCTTCTTCCAGGCATCATAAAGCTGAACATGTACTGGATAGACTCCAGAGTGGTGTGGAGCCACTGCATAGCCCATGTCAGTTGGAATACCATGCTCCTAAAACATTAGCAGAAGAAAATTGTTTTAGAAAATGTTTAGAAGAAATGTTTTAGAAAATTTAAAAAGCTTGATGTTTCAGCATCTCAGGAGACATGAAGAACAATATTTAAATGCAGAAACTTGTTTAATAAATATTTTTATGAGTACATAGGGAGGAGAGATATCAATATTTTAGCTGGTTTCTTCAATCAATACTTAAGGAAAGTTGCACCCTTTCAGGATCCTGAGAGGAATTTGTTCACAGACTAAGAATTTATAGAGAAAGTTGTTGGCATTTATTCAGCACAAAGACTGGCATTTGGCAGCTGGAGGCACAAAATGTAATTTCCTCTACATGTGTCAACATAAGTACTTGGGTTCTTATTTGAAAATCACTGCATTTCCCCTCAAGTCCAGTAGCTGCATAAAAACATGTTCAAAAAGCAGTTTAACCATTTAACAGAATCATTTAAAAACAGAAAAAGTAACCACTTGGAAAATTCTGAGGATAACGTGCAGATGTTCTAGACTAATCCTTTCTATAAAACATTTTGTACTTATTTTTGCAGACCTCTATCAACCATCCTATTTACATATTGACCCTGCTGATAGTACTTTCTCTTGACATTCAGTATGTTTCCTTTCCAGCTCCTATTTTCTGAAGTCCTTTTATGAATTTTGACACCTTTTCTCCTTCCTGCCAGGTTACTTCTCAAAAAAACAGTATACTGCAAATCTTTCTGTGACGGTCTGATTAGCAAAATAAACTCTTTGTCTGTAAGACGTTATGTAAAGAATCCTTTCATCGCGTTGAGATGATTTAGACAAATTGCCTTTGCATAACCTTTGAACACTGTTTAAGAGTTCTTCATCTTGTTTGCATTTGTATAGTCATCTTCATCAGATTTGCTAATTATATTTCATGTGTGAAAATGAGAGGCGGCTGATACACCGAGTCCTTTCCTTCGAACAAGCTTCTCAGCAAAGAACATCAAAAACCAAGTAAGTCCTATCTCAAAGAACACATCCGGGCATGACATCCGTTAAATTCTCTTTCTTCATATTTTCTAGAAGGGGATTGGACTGCTACAGGAATTCAACCTACTGGACTTCATTAGGGTGATCAAGAGAGAAATGGCAGGGATAATAGGATAGGATACCACTTTGAAAAGCGGTATATTTCTCAGATCTTACATAAGAGGTTTATCATAAAGGGAGCGGAGGGAAGAATGAAAGAAATCTTTCTGACCAGGAGGAAAAACTGAGGAAGTTGGCTCTGCAGGAGGTGCTAAAGATGCACTGCGAGGACGCTGAACTGAACCCACACACCAGTCAGAGTGATGAAGAAAACCCACACTGCCACTCAGTGATTTATTCATTAATAAATTGACGGTAGGAGAGTTTCTGGAAGTAAAATGCTCACTTGCTTTCTGTAATATTGTGCTCTGGCTTGTATGCTGACATTGGTACGGAGATCTGTGGAGCTCCCTTGCCAGGAGGGGCCCTGCACTCTCATCCACTCAGGCCACTATTAGCTCTGTTACAGTAACTGGTTAGGGCTGCCGCTAGGTCCTGCTAGATTCGAACTTTCATATGATAATCAAAGGGTTGCTAATATTCTCAGTCCTCTAATTCTCAAGAAACAAAACCATAATTATACTCTTTGGAGAATTCACATGGGAGCAATACGGACTTATCGCTTCTCTCTGTCTAAAGGTTTAAGCCCCTTAGCATAAGACATCCAGTTTGCTTTTTGATGCTAAAGCTCCCTAATACCCTGTAYTTTTTCTATCTACGCAAAAATGATGTGCTAGCAGCTCATTGCATGAAAGTCCATATTACAGCAATAAATAAGACATACATAATGAATGTGACCTGCATAACAAACTGCTATCGCCTTAACCAGCTACAAGCAGATACAATAATTTAAGCACTCAAATGCTCTACACAAAAGCATGACATGTTTTAAATCATGGGCACTGCATCAATGCGTTTGCAGTCATGTCGTATCCCAACCTCTACAAACCTCAAATAGAGCCAATCATATTTTAAAAGCAACAAATGCAAGAAGCCAGCAGTGCTGTTTTGCTATCAAAACCTGAATAGCTCCAACTCCTTCCTTCCCAGGTACTGAAAGGATTTTTTTTTCCCAATCACTTAATAATGTAATAGTGGGCCATAGTTTGCTCTCTAAAATAGACTGATTCTGTTAAATTTTGCTGCAGATTTCATTCCAGAAATCCTGTTTTTTAAAAGAAAATGTCTTCAACTTAAAGTTAGCTACTACATCTTCCTCACTGCAGTGACACATTCGCCTTGTGCCACAAGAACCATTAGGTGCCCAGAGGGTCAAAATTGCCTATTTTTGCATCCATACATAGGCAAGTACCACATAAGCACTGATGAAGACACAACAATGGATCCCTGATTTATGTCATTTGTGAAATGCTTAAATAATCAAGGTTCAACATTAGACATATCTTTTATAAATACCCTGACAGCTTTACTAACAATTCAAAACAAAGAAAGCCTACAAAGAGCAGCACTTGCTTCTGCGCAGGAAGAACATAAGGAATAGGATGTCATAGCTGTGAACTGTGCAATGAAACAAAGTCCCCCCCRCCATTTAGGGGCTACTCTGAACCTGGTGCAATGGGATGTGTAACGGCCAGCCATGGTTTAATCTTATTTAAATTTTTTTAAAGAAATTTACAACATGAGTGAAATTATTTTTTTCCTTGGCAATTTATGATATCCTTGGACCATATAATGGGGCATAAGATTTTATCACCCTGTGGTTGGTGTAGCTTTTGGAGTTCTCACAACACGTTACAAGGTTATAAGACCCATATACTCCATCATTCATGATGGCATATCTGCAGAGTCGGTAACCTGCTCGCTTGCAGCTGGGAGTGCAGTACGTGCAAGGTGCCAGAGTTGAAACGTATAAAATCTGGCCCGTTGGTTTTAGTGCACGCGGAGATAAAGAATGGATGTGCCATCAGTTACCCAGCTTTACACTATTTAATTCTGTTACACATATTTCAGTTCCTCTTCCTTTTATCTTAATCATTCCTACTTCACTTGAGCCTGCATAAGCATCAAAAAGAATAATCTTTACAGAACATGTAAGAAGTCCCATATAATCTTTTTCACTCAATTCTAAACAAGTGTCTTAATTTTATGTTTTTTTCTCTAAGTTTTAGCAAAATCAGTATGAAAAGTACGATGTAATTAAATCCTTTTTTCTAATTACTAGCCTATCATCTTCCATGTAGTAGTCTCTCTTCGTAGTCTAACTCTCTATTCAAGCATTTCACAGACATTGTACATATTTAGTTTGATAATACATCTAAAACTTCAGCCTCCTGTAGAAAAAACAGGATATTTATCTTTCTTATTACTCTAAATACTTCAAGCAAATGAAATAAAATGAAAAGCATGATTTTATACATAGCTTCAGACATTAAAAAATGTTTAGTATAACATATCTTAGAAAGACAGAGAAATATAAGGCGTCTTAGAGAGAATTTAGAGCAGTGAAGAAAACAGGAATTAACTTACCCAAAAAGAGTTTGAATATAAGCTATTCTAATAACATTTTAATGATTATTCAAGTGTAGACTGATTTCAGGGAATGTCTTAGGTCTTTTTTTATCACATGAGAATTCTAAGAACTAATCTGATTTTCAGTGAAACTTGCGACAATGTCCAGAATCACTGAACAGGAGGAAGCTTGAACATGGGATTTTAAATTTTAATGGTTCTAACTTTGACTGAACTGTCTTCTTTCATGGAAAAAGAAAGTCGAGCTGGCCTGTATTCAGTACAATTATGGTTTACAAGACACTCGGCAAATTCTTTGGTAAGGAAAATTCTTATACCTTATTCAAAGCACTGTTCCCAAAAAATGTATTTATTCTATATTCTAGGTCTATACTTTCCTCTCACACTCGCTGAGACATGATCAGAAGCAGCAATGCACAGATTTTGGCCAAATCTCTCACTGATAAAAACTCAGAATACATACTTTAATCATAAAAAGTTTCCACCCAAGTTTGCTCATTTAAGAGACAGTTGAGAATGATTTATAATGGCAAACTCTGGGGCTTTGTACCACGCTCTGCTCTATCTGCCAGATCCCCGTGGGTGGTTTACACAGCTCCGGCRCTACCGCATTTGAAACCCAGCAGGATGTTTCCAAGCTTTAGCCATTCTGCCCTGCTTCTCTAACAGAGCACTGGCTAAAATGGAGTGGGGCGCTCTGTGTGCTTGGCTGGTTGGGGACAGGGGCAGAGCAAGGCCATATTCACGCTGAGATGCCCCTAAATTTTGCCAGTTGTTAGCAGCTCTGCAGTAGATTACAATTAGAGTTTAAAATTAGCATAATTAATTTTCTTCAAGAAAGTAGCATAACGCACTGTATGTGACATTTTTGGGTAGGTTTCACTGTACGGAATTAAGTGTCAAAGAATGAGTAAGCCTGTTTCCTTAATATCCTCAGACTTAAATATCTGTTCTTATTTTATTCTTACAGTCTCACTCATACATTTTTTCAAAGCTTTGCTGTGAATATATAGTTATTAAAGGCAATGTTTTCCAGAACTATTTTACATAAAGTCAATTTAAAGGGAATATATGAGGTGCTGTTAGGTAACACTGCAGAGAAAAATCTTTGAAAAAGTGGCAAATTTCATCAACTCCAACATCCAGTGTTTACACAGTCATTTGGAAGTTGTGATGCAATATTTATTCTTTCATAAAAAAAAAGTTTTATCAAATTCAAATAATCCAAGGGTTAGTTCAACAAAATTTCATCTAGAAAAATACTGAAGATTTTTAAACTATTTTGAAATATGTTCATTCTTTACTACAAAACATGTTTTTCATTTCAAAAGTGTTTATAAAACAACTTGAAAAAAGCTTTAAAAAAGCAGGAAATACAAACTGCACAGAAACAGAATTCTCATAGCACAAGGCAGAATGACTGAAAAATCACTTTCTCATTCATTTAATCTAAAAATATTCTGCAAACATTGATTTTTTTTCTTTTTTTTTTTTAAACAAAACAAATTATTGTCTCTGGATACCTATACTCAGAAAAAAAATGAAAAAAAAAATTACTCACTAAGGCAAATTTTTTGTTGAGGATCATCTGCTCCACCAGTGACGACTCATTGTGGAAGAGGTGAGGCTGCATGTGACTCCACATATGGGGAAACCACCAAAACTCATCTACTGACCTCAACAACAGGTCATCACCTTCATCTTCCTCCTCAATGCCTGAAAACAAAACAAAACCAAACAAACAAAAAAAAAATGAAGCAAAGCACTTTCATTCATTAGCTTGTTGCAAATGTCTGAATCTACAGGCAGGCAATCAGCAAAATAATTCTTGATAAAGCTTGACTGATTAAAATACTAAAGATTTTAAAGGTTTCCAAGTACATATTCCTTTCACTTAAGTGATTATAGCCACGTAAAAGACTGCCTCATGTGCATGGCACCCTGAATGTACGGAACAGCACTTTCCTCTCATTCTTGTGCTCTATTAGTAGCATTAGCAGCTAAAAGAGAGAATARGAGAAATTGCATACAAGACAGTTTAGTAAATAGGTAATTGCTAACTCTCTTTTGTTATTYCTCATCCAAATTCAATCCAAGCAAAGCTCCTCTCTTTTTGTTACCTGCAGATTATAGGAACATTCCTTCCYCAGCCTTTCCAAAATACCATGCATGATTTTTTCCCTTTGTTAATTTTTACCATTCTGAGTAYGACTTATTCAGCAGTTGTCAAAAACCTACGTTTCTGAAAATACTTAATGGCTGGCTGGAGCTCACTGGCTTATTGCTCAGACCTCAGCCCTGTCTTTTCAGGTACTTTTCTGTCTGTTCCTAATGATGTGGTGCCCCAGAAGAGACCCTGCAGCAATTTCTAACTGCTATGCTGATTTATTACTAGGAATTGCCCAGAGCGCAGTGTTAGAGCTGCACTGTTCTTCTAGGCCTCTCGCGCTACAGCTACACCAGTAAATAAGGCAGTGACAGGGTCTGCTCCCCGACCCTGAGCCAGCTGGGCTCTTCCAAGCTCACAAATTCCCCTCGCCAGCAAGAGAAGAGAGCTGCAGCCCGGCTGCTTATTGGCAAGAGCCCCTTGCTCATTCGGGACCTGTCTGGAAAGGGCAGGCTACCTGGGCCAAGAGCACTCCACTGCTCACGTAATTCCACAGCAGTGACAGTGCTCAGACCTGTGCCCCAGCTCTGCATAACCAGATAGAAGTATATTGTAGCCAACAAGAGAGAAGCAGGCTGAATATGTGGGAGCACCTTAGGGAAAGCAAGGGCCAGGGTCTAGCTGGCAGGGCAGATCCCAGCCAGAGCCTTGACAATTACCCTAGTCCTAGCTCATAGTCTTATAAAAGAAACTCTTCTCTACTCAGATCCATATCATTTTATTTAACAACATAAAGCTATATAACCTCCATCATTCCTACTTCATTCCTACTATAGCACAAAGAACACTAGCAAATGTTATTTTATTTTTTATTCTTACCTGTATGATAAAATTTCCCAGAAAATCCCAGGTTGAAAGTAAAATTCGTAATCTGAGCTCTCAAAAGATTCTGAGTGTCAAGCAGAGCCTGAAAGGAAAAAAAAAGAAGAAAAAAAAAAGAAAAAAGAAAAAAGAAAAAAAAAGAAAAAAAAAGAAAAAAACACACTATATAAAACTATATCTGTCACAGAAATGTAATTTAACAATATAAGTATGTTTTAAAGGTATACACATTTCCATGCGTTTTCTCTGTACAGTATCATCTCTTATACATGACAAGGAAGTCACACCATTTAAAGATTAAAGACAACACGAAAGCATCACCTTCATTGTAAAAATGRCCAGCTATTAAATAATGCTTTACTCCTTAAATCATGCTATATATAGGGAATCAAAGGCACATGCCAGGGAGACCCTTCACTGATTATTCGGTAAACCAGAGACACAGGCAGGAATGGAATAGAGCTTTCTTGTGTCCCAGACGAGGGTCCCATTCACTACACTGAACAGGATCTATTTATTAGGATTACATTGCTCCAGATCAGGTGCAAGCACATACAGAACATTTTATTCATGTTTAAAAATTTCTGGCCAAAAAAAAAGAAGCCTATTCTGTATTACAGAACTTAATCCTACCCTAAAATTGTGACTCATCTCTCAGACAGTTAGCATACTGGCTGTCAGCACAAATGCACTCAGACTAAATTAGTACAAACAAAAACGAGCATGTTGAAAGAAATGGGGAAATTATTATTCATCAGATACAGCTTCACTCTTCAATTTCAATATGCTCTTCTTGAGTTGCAACTCCCAAGATTTACAGATTACTTGAAGAGTGATCTCCCAAACTCTCACAGGGTTTCCCGGTGCACCGAGGGAAGCTCCAGTGTGAGCCGAACCTTTACAAGGAAAGGACAAAACACATGAAAAAGAACAAAAAGCTTCCTCTAGAATGACACTGAGCGTACATTCCTCCCAGCGGCCTGCCTTCAGCTGAGCCCTTGGTACTTGCTTATTTATGAGCACAACAGACTCTTGAGATTTGCAACGCTGTCCACTGCAGCTCGTGACCCCCGCTCCCAGGAGCAGGGAGCGCAGCAGGGCCACGAGTGGGACCACACTGTCCGGTCCTCTTTGCTCCACCTATGAAACAATGATCATTTTTCTCTTTTTGTTTTCTTAAGGTCCACATAGATCAGGAAGGGCATTACGTTCCTCCGCCACTATCTTGCCTCTCCTCTCGTTTTATGCAGCTATGCAGCTTTAGCAAAGAGAGCAATACGAGTTTTTGAGGGACAGTATTAGTAAAGCCAAGATTATCTTTCACTCTGAAAGGAAATCCTAAAAATGTCCTGCACACAATGTATTTTATAAAGAAATTGGTAAAACAAAACACAAGACGGAGATAACTGAAAACAAGCTTGAGACTTCTGAAGTGATACAGCAATAAAACCTCAACAGTGTAACAAGGACTTTTGCAGAGGTTATTAAAGATCACTGAGGAAACTTCCTATTGTGATGAAAGTTGGCAAACCTGCAACCTGTTTATTATTAAAATCTTCCTTGAGCTGGTGGAAACTGATGCATCAAAGGAATTTGTGTTTTTGTTGAGATAAATGTAGGAGGCAAATGAATTGGCAATACACTTGCCATATTAATGGGTTAGGTATTTGAATATCGGAGACCCTCAGTACAGCTTGACAGCAAGTTGACATCAAGGGCTACAAAGTTCTTTCTCTCTGAATTAAATTTAATAGGCACCACTAGAAGAAAAAGCCGTGCATTTAGAAAACTCTAAACAAAGTATGATTCTGAGGTGCTTGCATGGCAGGGAAGTAGATTCTTCAGAAACACAGCAAAAAGAAAATAGATTATTGGATTTTCCTGTGCTGCATGACTTTAAAGAAGGTTAAGGCCAAAAACTGCATCCACTCCGGTAAGAAATTCTGCAGCACAGGCTTTAGGATACAGGAAAACTTATGTCCCAAATGAACAGCGCAGTTTGACAAGACTCTAATTATTCCTATGATTTAAAATTTAATGTCAAATATACTTCCTTACAGCTATCTGCCAAAATAAAAAACTTTCTGGAGGACTACTGTTTGTAGCCTCTGGCTAGGTTATATTTATATTCTTTATGTTGTGTTTACCGCTATGAGGCATCAATCTTTGAACTGTAAAGATCTGTGTCTGCTTTTTGGGCTGAAGGTCTTAGCTCGTACCCTCCTATCAGCTTCCCAACTTATCAGCTCCAGTGTAGTCTGCRTGACGAAAAAATGGCATGAAAACACAGAAACTTTAAACCGCAGGGAAACACAACTTTGAAGGATACTTTCTGGTACTAGCACTCTGCAGCTCGACAGTTGAGAGAAGAGTCAGAATTCTAAAGGGCAAGAGGGAAAATCCCCGAAAGCCCATACATTTCTAATGATAATTCTATTTAAATTTTCTACTTTCATTTATTATATTTCGGCCAAATAGATGTGTGATAGTGATACATGTCCTATATCACTCAAATGAAACTTTTTTCGGTCATGAATAACATTAAACTCCAAAGAAAATCTAGACTTTATCTTCTAGGAAATGTTAAGAGAGATCCCTCCCTGCCCTCCCCCCTTTGTCTTTCAATAAAATCAACAGGCTGTTGTTCTGTGCTGTTGTTTGGAAGGGGACCGACTACAGCCCAAAGTGTCTGCTCACCTGTCCTGCCACTCTGCACAGCAGCGCATGCAGAGCCACTGGGAAGCAGTTCTTGGACAGACAAGCTAAGATAACATTTGAGTTGTCACGTCTATGATTATTTTCTGGGTGACTTGACATTTTACTYATCTTTCAGGTTCTAAAAACAAAATGTTAAAACTCATGAAAAATATATAGTAGCAGATGGCAGGGACTATTACTGTGAGTTTCTATCAGAGAGACAGAGAGAAACARGCAGGGGGAGGAAAAGCTTGAAAATTCATTTCTAAATACTACTTTATATGCTGAAGGTAGCCTGGTAATATTTTCTSTTTATTTTTGATTGTTTTATGAACAACCTTTCCAGCACTTGCATGGGATGTTGTATAAATATGCTAGCACTAAAATGATGTTTTATAAACTGTTCACTAAAATCTTCTTATGTTTATAAATAATTATTTAGTACAAGTTATATTTCCACTGATGCTGTAAGGAAAAGAAAYTGCTGGCCTAATCACCTTCATGTAGCTACAACCTTGCTTTTCAACCTTTCCTGACTCATATGCTAGGCTGAGGAAATACCTTTTGCTTGAAATCAAATGAGTATACATGACTTCCTTATGTCATAACCGACTGTATAATATAATCCCAGAAAAAGGCRCATCTATTTCATCTATTCCAAGAAATAGATGAGAAATTCCCTGACAATAAAAATAGACAGATCTTTCAATCCTTACACCTGACATATATATAATATCCTAATCTTTCATTCAATCCAGTTTACAGAGGAAAAAGTTTTATTTCATTTTTCTCATCTTACAGACAGGACAAACAGAGGCAGAGAGACGCCACAAGTTGTCAAAAGCTCTTGCTCAACAAAATCAGCAACAAGATCAAGCCAAGAAAAAAATCAGTTTAGCCAAACTTGCTTTCTACTCCCATAGCCAGGAAACTACTCTGCCTCCCTTGCTCGGATATCTTTTTCCATGATTTCACTTTATAGCTTCACTTTCTATAGTCACAGGGAAACCACAAATGCAAGCTTATTTCGGACAAACGATCTCTTCACCATCAACAAAATCTTCACCTCCAACCATTTTAGCTATAGAGATGATCAGATAAATAAATCATGAATATTTCATTCAGCTCTGCGTGAGCACAAAATATATCAACATGTTTATGAGTATTTTCCTTCCCAAAAGCAGCTCATAAACATAGCGACTTGAAAAGCAAACCTATTCAAAATGCTGTTAATTTTACTGGTGGTCACATGCTTTAACTAAATTGGCAACCAGATAGAYATAACCCCACAGGGCTGCAGTGTTAGTATTTTGAACTTCAAATCAGAATATGCTTTTATGTCAGTAACTAAAGGAATAAAGGTCAACTTCATAATTTTCAAAAAAAAAAAAATAAATCATTCCACCTGAGCTCTGTAATACTTCTTTTATTATTTCCTGTGCTTAACAATAATATCAAAGGACTCTCAAAGCAGGAATTACTTTGCTTCTGAAGAAAACTTTCAGCATTGTACTGTTTCTTTAATGAACACAAGCACTTTCTGAAAAGTTAAAAAAAAAAAAAGCAAAATGTGAAATCACATGAATAAGTACACTAACCCCCTTTACAGGAGCTCTCAGGAGAAGTAGCTTCAGTTCTCTGTAATATATTCCCTCTTTAGTTCAGGGAAAGAAAGGGAAAGAAGAAACAGAACTGAGAGCCACCACAACAGAACTAAAGGCATATTTTTTTTAATCCTGTGTGAGTAGAAAGGCACTGAGAAAAGGATCCTGCAAGTGCAGCTGGTAGGCYTGGTATATGTGCAGTCTTCTTCAAACTGCTCCTTTCTGCAATATCTCCTAAAGTCTGATGTTGCAAATTCACTTGCTTATAAGGAAAAAAWTAAAAAAAAAAWTAAAAAAACAACAACAGAGAGACGAATGAAAAGGAGAACTGAGGAACAGAACCTAATGTAATRTATATATGATCATACGGATGACTGAAGCATGCACCTACGATGTACACAATGTACACAGTGTACATGTACACAATCATGCCTTTTTATAGAGCAACGTACGTCTCTACATCTGCTAAATGATCACCATTGGAAATTGGAAATCTGCCGTGTGCAGTAGCCAGAGGTGACACGTGGCACGGTGTAGCAYAGAAAAGGGCTCAGGTGCCCAAGCTGCACCTGCTAGGTCAGGGTTTCTCGGAGCACTTCTGGGGTTTATGACCCAAAAAAAAAAAGACCAAGAAAGAAAGAGGGAGATGGGGCTTGGGGAAGGCAGCGCTGAGGGAGGTAGCAGCAGGACCCCAGCAGAGACACCAGGGCGGTTTTTGGCCAGGGGCTGGGAGCGCGAGCTGCTCCGGCAGGGAGCGCGGCCGCTCAGGAAGCTGGGAGCAAGG